ACACACACACACACACACTAAAGTACAGACCCACACACTCAGCAACGGCAGAGACGTTGGAAGTGGATCAAAACATGCAGGCAAGTGGAAAGGAGACACAAATGTCCACAAAGGCGCGTGTCTCATTAGGACTGGATCAGCGGTTCCTGTTCTTCTGCACAGCTCTGTGGTCCAGAAAGTAGAGTGGAGGTTTAAACACACAAAAACATATCTGTAGAGGCCATTTTCGAGATGTTATGGCAGGGAGCGAAGAACCAAGAATAGGTGCGGTTGAGCTTTTTTTTTTTCTTATCTTACACAGTTTGCGTTTTCTACCTAAACAAATAAAAAGTTTTCACCGGTAAAGTTTATGTTGGAGTCACACAGAGACTAAACCTCCTTTTTTTTTACGCATCTGGTCTTTCTTACGTTTGTCTTGAAGTTAAATTAGTGCCTCCACATTAAATCATTATGATAAACATCAAAACACAACTCCAGTCTCAACGTCAACCTGCAGTCGGTGCTGGCAAAAGAGAATGGCCGCCACATCTACAATCTCTCCTCTTGTGTGCCAACTATGTAAATACAACACTTGCCTTGATTACAGATGCAGTATTTACTGCTTTTTCTGTCTTTCCAAGACCTTAATTTCCCCGTACAGTCCTATTTCCCATAAATACAGCCAGAGTAGCACTGTAATTAGGGGTTATATTTACCCCACCTGACTAGGAGAGAACCCAGTTCAGAGCTGGCAGCAGGGATGAGCCAGATCCTGCTGCTTCGGGTGGAACCAGGACACCAGTGGACGCACGTGACCTCCCCACCCAGAGGCCTGATCCCTGAACAGTCTCCAATCTAAGGACCGTCTACCCTTTAAGATGTGTGATGTCAAAGCTTGCTGAAACACCCGGCAGCTGCTTCCAAGTCAGATTGTGGTTGGGGAATTTCAAAGAGATTAAAGAGATAGAAAATGAAGTTTTTATTCTTAAACAACAGGAGGAATCTCTGCCTCGCTCTAATGAGCTCCAGCTTTCTTTCCCTGAAATGTTATCAGAGTAGAGTTGTGGCTTCTCCTGATGAGGACAACTAACTGTAGCTCTGGTAAGAAGCCAAACACACCTCCTGGTGTAGTTATACTTTCAAAAAATGCTGGGCTATTTCTCTGCCACTCTCAATTCCCTCTGTGACCACATTGACCCTTTCCCTACCATCAGTAACCATCTATAGAGAAAAACCCCAGACTGAAACACAAGACAGAGAAAGTTTGTCAAAGTCTCTGTGTATCATGCTAAAACAGGACGTTGCAGAATCGTGTTTAAAAAAAAAACAGAAGGTTTGTCTCATGCTGCATTTCACTCAGCCCAAATGCACCCTTTCAGCTGCTCTTCAGCAGATGGGGTGCTCTGGATCCCTCATTCTCCAGACAGTCACACATCTGAAAGCTGTCAGGGTGAGGCTCCTTTCAATCTGCTCTCAGAAACCTCTAAACCAAAGCTGCTCGTAGCAGGACCGCGTGTGCTTCAAAGATACAGAGGGAGGAAAACGACGAGAACTCAAAACCAAAGGCCTAAGTAACCCTCTAATAACTTTGATCTGTGGCGTAACTTTTTATGGTCTGAGGTCACGTGCTGAGTGAAAAAGGACGAGTGCTGACTCACATCTGTACACTTCTGTCCTCTCCATGCCAACAAGAGCAGAGAGAGTGATCAGAGTTGAAAAGAAAACAGGAGAAATCAGAGACAGCAGGAAAACTTGGCTCCGTGGTTCATCAGCGTTTCGCATCACGTTTGCCCAAATCGACTCTTGCATTGTAACGTTTAAGACATGACAGGAGAAAAGATTAGTTGATGTAATAATGATTCCCTTTTTTTTCTCTACTAAATTAAATAATTAGTAAATGCAGCAAATGCCAGCAACAGGTCTGATAAACAAAGATGAGAAGCAAATTAGCGACGTCAGGGACCTGTTGACTGCCTCTCTTCTGTATGAAAGCAGCTCAAGGCAATTTTACTGACAAATTCAAAAAACAAATAAAGAAGTGAAGTTTTTCTTCAATTCGCTGCATTTGTTCTGGATTTTATCTCCTTTGATTCTGATTTGACGCTTTGACTCGCATCTAAAAATCCTCGATCTTCACACCCGAACCCCCACCCCTCTGCTGAAACCTTTACTGTGCCATTGTTTTGATGTAATCACTACAGAAAACAGGCGCACTACCTGCCTGATCCAGACTCGTTTACATGCTGCTTCAGGTCAGTTTAATTTGAATCGCCCCGGTTCATTTGATAGGCAGAGCGTGCAGAGTTGTGGAGTTTTGATGCTAACAGCATCTCCAAAGTGTAAAATCAAATAAAGGGTGCATGGTGGAGCACGTCCATTCGCATGTACACACTACACAAACACACAAATATGCTCCCTCTCGCTGCCATGTAGGTATTTCAGTGATGCAATATTTAATATGCTGTGGCATGTCGTGTTTTCATAGGATTTCTCATATTTACAAACCAGTGAGCCCACAAGGAGGGCTGAGCATCCTGCTAATTAAAACACCCTGGGAGGTCCGCATCAGAAATGTGTGAGAATTTGGGCTCTAAAGAGAGGAAGCTCTTGGACGCCTCGGTGCTGCTGGTCGAGGCAGAGCGGAGTCCTGCTGCTTCAGAGCCGATGGTCGTTAGTGAGAGTTTAACATTATCAGCTGTTAGAAAAGGGAAGGTTCAGAGTGGGACGGGTACCGTGGGAAGCAGGGACTCGCCATGTGTTCCACGTGCATAAATCAGTGCAAGATGAGTCACTGAGTGGTCAGTGGTGAGCCTATGGGATACCGTCAACATGTTTACTTGATGCAGCACGGAAAAGAATATATCCTCGTGGTAAGTAACAAAAAAATGGTCACGGTTCCGAGCTCATCTCTCTCATATTTACATGCATTAGATGAAATGAAGGGAAAGGTCATTTTTGAAGGAAGGACTGTAATAGGGATGGGTACCAAATTCGGTACTTTTTAAGGCACCGACCGAATTCCATAGTACCGACCGAGCACCGATTCACGTCATTTCAAACGGTGCCTCGTTTCGGTACCCGTCCTTCATAACGAGAACTTGCCTAGACAGCTGCGCATGCGCAAGAGCGTTATGTCGTCGCTCGCTGCGAGCCAGTTGTAAACAGAGCAGCATGGTAGAAAGAACGCACGCTAAAGCTTGGGTCCACTTCACTGAATGTGATGGGTAACTGGGTGATGATGAAACCAGCAACAACGATCTAAGTGAGACATCCTCATCTTAATCTGCTCCGGTAGTAAATAAAATGTTTAAGATAACGTTAGCTTGATATGTTAGTTTCCATTTCGCTAATGGTGCGTTCGCTTTCTCCTCGGAACTCCAAATTTCCGACTAGAAGAACATGAACGCGCACTAAAGTTTGGCTTCACTTTACTAAATGCGACGGGTGACAACGATCTAAGTGTGAGGCATCATCGTTTTAATCTGATCCAGCAGCTAAATAAACTGTTTAAGATAACGTTAGCTTGATATGTTAGCTTCCATTGCCACCGTTGTTATCAGCTAATGGTGCGTTCGCTTTCTCCTCGGAAATTCTAACTTCCCAGTATGAAAAATCAAATGAAAAAGGACGGCAAAAGGAATGAAGATACACAGTAAATTTAGTTCACAGTAAAGATGTTTGCTTCAGTTTAATTATCAGCTTATAAAACTACAAGGACGATGTTAATACAAACTGTTGAATGTTATTTATTGTGATATTTATCAAATATTGTTATATATTGAGAAAAATATATATATTTAATTATAAAAGAGAATTAAAATAATAAACACTCAAAAGTATCGAAAATTGGTACCGCTAAGTACCGGTATCGATTCCTAGGTACCGGGAATTTGTACCAAATCCATTCAAATGTCAAAGGTACCCATCCCAAGTAAACAACACTATAAAAATACTGAAAACGTAATTATTCTAAGGTGTTTAACAGACATGGAACACTGAAAAAACATTTTTAATTTTTTCATGGAGGCTGAACATGAAAATAGTCTCCAACACCTATCTCCTGCATTAGCTTCTGATAGAAAATGGACAGTAAAACCCTAGGATTTATAAAGCCTGGCAGATCTACGTCACACTGTCACTTTACATTCATGGACTCACCCATCTTGACCCACGACGGGGAAGGTTGTTGTTGGTTTAAGTCCAGAAACAGCATCTCGGCTAGTAGAAGCTAACCATTAGCATTAGCTGTCATGCTGACTTGGCAGAGGTCGCTCTGTCAACTGTCACCTCCTCAAGCTCTTGGGAAAAAGTTTGTTTTCTTTGAGTTTGAGTAAAGTGTTTGGATCAGACACAAGTCCATATGAATCAGTCCAAAAGCTTACCGATAGCCTGTCAAGATCAAAAGTTCTCCTCACAGTTGAATTGTTTGCTTGCGTCTGCCATCTCAGTTTGTCACACCCTGGTTGAATTCCTGCTGCATGCATTAGGAAGCCACTGGTGGTGCTTAATTTGGCTCACCTGGAGGAGGACACACGCCAGGGTTCACACGCCCCCTCTGGCCAGTGAGAAGATTGCATGCAGAGCTCATGTGCAGATACTGTGCAGAAGAGTCAGCATGAGGAGGAGACAGTTGACAGAGTGACCTCTGCCAAGTCAGCATGACATTAGCAACCCCACCACGCAGCAGAACTCCTCCAGGTTTGTGATATTTGTGGAAGTGAAACATTAACGTTGCAAAGCAAATGGAATAAGTAGTACAGTCACATTTCCATTTGCCAATCAGAGACGAGATGTCCAAATGTCAGGAAATAAGGCTCCAATTCCTGCTGTCTGAAGCTCTCTAATGTGGCAACTTCTACTTCCTCAAACAGGTGCACCGGAGCTTGTTTTCCCCAGAGAACAACTCACAATGCATTAGTTCCTACTAGAGACCTCTGCACATGTATTGATTAAATGAGTGACCCACACCTTTCAACACCTTTGCTTCCAGGATCCGCTGCCTTTGTGTCTCAGTAACTTACCTGTACAGGTGTCAGCTGGGCTCTGGGATCAAACACTCGCAACATCTTGTCCTAGCCCAAACACACAAACAAACCAACTTTAAACACCAGGTGAGTGTAAAACATGACTGGTCAGAGCTGAAATCTACTGCACATCATTGTTCATGCTGCGGTTTGGTTTAGTACCGAAGAGCTTTAGATCGTGTTTCATGCTCAAAATTTGCACAAAATACAGTTATGCTAAACAGATCCACATTTAGATATCTAAGATTTAGTTATGAAGACAAACATAAAGGTAGAAGTGAAAAAATTATTTTACTCAGAGAAAAATCACTGATGAGAAAATAATCTTTGCTTTAAAATCTCACACACACAGTACCTGTTTAACAGTGGACTTTGGGATTTTCATTTACCTTAAATAAAAAAGTTTCATAGTAACGTATAAATATTGGTGTGAAGTGCTAATCAGAGGAAGAAAAAGCCAAATAAAGCTCTAACGATACGATTAGAAAGGCTGAATATTCATCATGTCATCAGGTCCTCCTGCTAGACATTGAAATTAAGTCATCAAATGAAATGAAAACAGCAGATGAGTGATACAAAGATATCTCACATTTTTACAGGTCCCTGAACACACCATCGTCGAGCTTTAATGCACACAAAATCCAAATGACCCAACGGGGATCAATAAAGTTGTTATCCACTTAAATGACGTGGAGGTTTTTACCTCCTGAATCACAGCCGTAGGGAAGCTGTTATGCTTCAGTTAAAGAATAAAAAAATCTGAATGAATTCATTTTTGGGGTGAAAACTATCAAAGATGACATCATTGACCATGAAAACTGCTGACAGCAGCTCTGTTTGAGGTGACTGACAGGTGCCCATTGTTACACTCTGAACTATCCGTCTGACCCTGAACGTCCTTTGATCTGAATGTTTCATGATCGGTTTCACTCCCCAGCCCAACTGAAGCAACCGCAGTAAAGTCTGAGGGCTGCTGGGGGGAATTACAGGGTTCTCAGTTAGCCTTAGCTCTATTTTCATAGAAACCACAACTAAAATATTAAAGCTGCATCTTGAGCAAGGGGTTCATTTATATTTGTATAATTCAGATGAGCTACAGAAAAGTTCCTCGTTTATCAGCGAGATCTCAATGTTAGCAAATGACGTCCAGTGACCCCTACTCGACCTCGCGCGCCTTGACCCCGGCACACCAAACACATATCAATCAAAGCAGCCAATCAGAGAGACGCCTGTGTGATTGGGAGGAAACGGCGTCTAATGGGACCAGGCTGTGTGGGGCACTCGTGTCTGCAGCCATGTCACCCTATACTGCTGTGTGATCCCAGCAGTGTCCTGACACATGGGGCTGATAGCAGGTAATAATTATGAGCACTTAGGCTAACCCATACACACACACTTCACACACACATGTCAGAGGGAATCAGGAGGCTGAAGGTGGCACAGCCAAGCTCACTCAGACACACGTGCTGGAATTTTTATTCTTTTTTTTTTAAACATCGTGCTCATCGCCGAGAGACGGGGGATCCCTCCAGCTTAGAGTTCATGTAGAAAAATCTGATCAGAGCTTAAACTGTCTTCATCCTGATCCCATCAACAACCACAAACGCATCTATTTTCTGTTTGAGACATGATCCGCAAACAGTGGTTTTAAATAAAGTGCTTTTTTTTCTCATTGGTTTTTCATCTCGTCTTTGTGAGTGGAGCCCACCCACGAGTGTGATGCCCCACGGCAGCATCTCCAGGCCTCTGTGACCTGAGAATAAAGCCACGGCTCAGAGACGTCAGCAGGAAAAACAAACACACACACACACATTTCCACCTGTTCCAAAACAAAAGTGGATCTAGAACCATTTCAGGATTCTCATCTCATTTTGGTGGAGATCCAGATTGAGCTGCTGCAAACGATTATTTCCATTATGGATGAACATGCACATTTTTGCCTCAGTCACTTCATTCTTTTGACAAAATAATTTCCCACAACCCATAAAAATGTCCTAAAAAGCCCTATTTTAGGGGACAACAATAAAAAAGAACAAGCTCTTCTGTTTACATATAAAGATGGGGATGAAACGTTGGTACTCGCGAGTTAAAGAAAGAGAAACCCACAGGACATGTGAAACTGACAAAAGTCATAATATCCATTAAAAATTAAAATCAGGCATTACTATTGAACAACGGTTTAACAGAACCATTAAAAAAAGAAACTCATGAAACTGGCATGAACAAAACTAATAGAACACTATTAGTTTATTATTATTATTATTAAAGAGCGAGTCACATCAAAATCAACTTCTTTTAGCCGATAACTAGAATAAATGAGTGTCTAATAGTGTTGTAGACATGTGTAGTCATTATTTTTGCATTTTGATGCATTTTCTTTGAAAACTCTAAATTCTAAGTACGTCAGTCTAGCGCCCTCTTCAGCTCAAAAGTATAGAACACGTTTATTTTGAGTCGGTTTTAGCCAATGGCTAACGAGAACGATGCTACGTAGCTAAGAAAAGTACTACGTAGCAGCTCTGTGGCTGTAGGTTATAAAAGCACTGCGGTCTCAACCAGCCTTGTAGCAGTCGGGGCTCGGATTAGCCGCAAGTGAGTTGTGCTGTAGTTGGCATTAGCATTAGCATTGTGTCAGAGTCCCAGCAAAGCTTCTAGTATTATATTTATTTAGTTCTAGTAGATTGGCTGTTAGATTGTAGTTTAGTGTTTTTTACATGTGACTCTTTCACCAACTTGATGGAGTTTGAACCGGGTTACGCTGGTTTGAAGAGCGTTTCACAAATTAGTCCAAGCCGTTCCAGTAATTAGTTGAATCCCGCCAACTGCTGCTTCCTCAAAATGGAGATTTTGGGCCCAATCTGAGGTGAGTAAGCTAAATAATTACTTTTAACAGCTTCTAAAGATCGTTTATATGTTTATATACATTTATGGACTTGGAACACAAACAGGAAATATATAAATTGAGATTTATTTAATAAAACATTAATAGCAGAGGCCCAGAGAAGGGAGAAATCATTCAAAGGCAAAATCTTCTGGAAGCTCCTGACGACACCACCAGAGGAGACCCAGCGGCTGACACCAGAGGATCACCTACGACCAAGAGAACAGCTGGTATTAGTAAATAATTAAATCTGGGCAATTTTAGTGGGCTGTTTGTGATTGTGTAACATAAATGGAAACATTACAGAATAATTTTCTAATGGGGTATTCTTATAACTTTCTCTGCAGCAGACAGTAACTTTAGCCCAGGGTAGGTGGCCGTGTCCTAGAAAGCTGCTATCCAGCACGTTTCAGTGGTTTTTCCTGCTTTAACAGGTTAGATTAGCTGTTTAGCAGCTCAACTACTTTCTGCTGATTAAAACCGGGTGTGTTGAAGCAGATAAACCTCTAAAACATGCTGGATAGCGGCTCTCTAAGGCCAAGGGGCCGAACCCTGCAGCTAAATCTATGGCTAATGGCTACTTACCATTCAGAGCTGGTTCTGTTGGGTCGGCTCCGGTGGTTTCAGGCAACTCACAAGCTCAAAACGAGAAGGCTCAGGTCCGCTTGTTTCCTCCAAATAGACTTGGTCCTGTTCTTCTCGATCATCTGGGTAAGGAGGGGGAGAAAATCCTCCACTTCTAATGACTGCTCAGAGTGGAAAAAGCTAGCATCACCCCGTTACCCATCCGTCTTGTCACTGCCGTGGCTCCGCCCTCTCGGTCCACCAGGCAACGCCTACTAATGTTGCATTTTCAAAATTGATATGTGGGTGGAAAAGCACTCTGAGGCAGAGTTTATAATTCTTTTAAGTTTTGTTGCACAATCTTTAAAGTAGGGCTGCACAATATATCGCAAATATATCGTTATTGCGATATCAGCATGCACAATATGCATATCGCAAAGAACAGATAAATATTGTAATGAATGGTCAGCCCAAATGTTGGCTACACCTAATGAATTCTGTCAATCAAACGGAAGCATGATGATTTTTTAACAAATCAAATAGAGCTCTTCGCCCATTTGGCCAATTGGGTGGGTTCTCATAGGTTAGATGCCCACCCCCGAGGCGGACAGCACTTAATTTTGATGGTTAGCGAACACCTGAGTTAGCTTTGTTCTGCTCTTTCTGCTGATTCTGCTTTTGGGATCCACTGATTGCCTTTTCTTGTTCATTTTCTTTTTCTCTTTCCTCACATCTTTTGCTTTTCTCATTTTTATGATTTATTAGTCATTTTTTTTATTTCTTTGTTTTTGATTATTTTTGTTCCCGAGTTAAGTTTTTAATTATCGCAAGTAATATCGTCATCGTAATATGAATCACTGTTATTGCATATCGCAGGATTTCCTAATATCGTGCAGCCCTACTTCAAAGGTAACCAGAGGATTTCTGTAACTCTAACGGAGACGTCCGCGGGTGTTCTGGTCCACTCCTCAGGAGAAAACTGCTCCAGTTGTCTCAGATTCCTTCTTGTTCCAGCTCCATCTACAGAGGTTCTACAGGACCTAGGCTCACAGGCCACTTCTGAACGGTCCAGTGTTTGGTTCTGATGCATTCTTGGTGTTTCTAGCTGGGTTTGGGGTCATGATTCTTTTGGAGGACCCATGACCTGAGACTGAGACCAGGCTTTCTGACACTAGCAGGTGATCCAAATGACCATTATGGGGGTAAACTTCATCAGTGAGCACCAACACTGTAAATACACCCCTCCTAATTAAAGCAGGTAAATCTCCCAGGGTGTCTTAGTGCAAACAGCACATGATGCAGGAAACTATCTGGCTGTACAAACACACAAATGGGGGCTATTCACATACAGATGTGTCCACCAAGTAAAAGTGTATATGCACAGACTCGACTAAACAAACGCCAATAACAATAACACATTAAAACACACACACACACACACACACAACACCTGAAGTCATAAACAGACAGGAGTGGTTATCTTGTTGTGTGCGTTTGCTTTACGCAGCAGCTGTTTAATCAGAAACAGAGCCTCGTTCTCAAGCTGCTGCCGTTAATGAGTTTTCACTGAAGGTCTGCTGCTCACAACTTTCACATGTACGCAAACCCGCGCACACACACACACAGATGCTGGGAATCTTCACCCGCGGGTGCTGTCCATCGCTCACTCCACTCATCAAACACACGGCGCTGCCAGACTGCTGTTCCCAGTCGCCCATGGTTACTGATGCCACAGCCTGATGTGTGGAACTGCAGCTTCTTCACCACACTGTGGGAAATGCTGTAACACGAAGCTAAGCCGTGGACCACAAACCCAACAGGAGAAAAGCGCCCTTCCTTCCTCCTCCGTTGACTCTACATGAAGATCTCGTCTTCTCCTAACTGAATACCACCTTTCTCTTTGCGCGTGTGTGTCATAAATACTCGTCTTTAGAGCCAAATGAGGCCTGTCGTGACTGCTGCTCTTTGGAGAGACGGCGTCCCCTTCATCTACCCCCAGCCAAGCCCTGTGCTCCAGTGTTTACCCTACAGAGGAGCCGGGGATTGGACCCACATGTCGGCAGGCTCTATTTGCTTTAATAACTTGGATTGGAATGATTGAAAGCAGTCGTTTTAGTTAAATGACACCAGATACAGACTGGGAAGAAACCTTGGAGGCCCTCCAGCCCCAATTATACACTTTCTTTTCAGGTGTCGTGTTCTTTTAGGCTGCACTGAAGCTGAAGGTAGGGTCAGTAACTCAGATTAGGACAATTATCCTGTCAGGGATGTTGTGATGGGACAAAGCCTGTGATGGTTGGAGTAATTTGTTCCCTATCACAAAGAGACAAACAAGTAGGACTGAACTCTGTGGCAAAGGTTACTTGGTCGCCAGTTCAAGTGAGCTCATCGTGGCTCATCTAGGGAAAAAACGGGGACTGAAGTTTCCTCTCCACAACAGAAGCAAAAGAAAATTCACTCCAGTGAGTTAAAAGTGAGAAATAGGCATAAATACCAGTTATATTAAAAGCCCTTGGCTGTTCCCATGAAACAACTCACTAAGGTCCCACCACCCCCATCTTTCTCCTACAAAAGCTTAAGGTACACCTTCTCTCCTTTTTGTTTTTCTTGTGCTCTGTAGTACTACTGCGCGAGTAGACACAAGTGCAGGCTCTCAAAAACAGCATGGGATCAAGAGAATGGGGTCATAAAGCGATGCATGCTGGGAAACGGGGAATTCAAAGGTCATATAGGGATGAGAAAAGTTTCACATCCTGAAATATTAAACATTCACACACAGCCTGTTTCCATTAATAATTCCCTAATTACCCAGTGGGTGATGTTTCCAGCCTGATGAGGAAAATCTCCTCAGGCCCTCTAATAAAGACGCTGGTCTCACCGTTACATCCAAACAAACAAACAGGCCATTACATCACTCACATCCAACTTTATCCAGTTGTTCCTTAGAAAATATTTAGTCACTAATTTGTATCCAACATTTTATGGGGTTCCCACCCTTTTTTATGAGCATCACCTTGTTGGTATTTTGAATTAAATATTCCAAAGTATGAACTGTATGTGGGCCAGTGGTGGCATCTAGTGGTCAAAGACTGCAACTGCAGGAACCCCTAACCCCTCTAGAGTAGAATAAGAACAGAGACTGGGAACCAACAGTGCTCACTAAAACAAAAGCAATGAAAATGTATAAAATGTACTAAAAACCTACCGATGCCAATCAGACATTACTTTTGAACTCAAAAGAATAATCTTTAAAAAACTAACCTTGTCTGGACAGGAAAGGTGGTATCATAAGAAGACAACGATCCGACTAAAAGAACAAGTTAGACTCATGTGTGTCTTTATTCCTGCAGTCAGTCAGTTTGCCTGTTTAAAGGTGAACTGGACCACAGGAAGCTGAGGACAGAGTGGTCTCAGAAAGGCTCAAGGTCAGGTCCATCAGAAGGAGATGACTCAGTTTAACCAAAGGGGACGTAAAGGAAGATGCCTGCTGAGGACGCCACTGTTGGAAACCAAAGTGGGATTCACCAGGGTGCACACTGACAAACCTCAGGGCTGCTGTGAGAATATCCTCTGGACAAATGAGACCGATCTGGAGCTTAATGACTAAACCCATCAGCTCAGTGGTCACAGACACAAGGAGAACATGGAGGAGGCTCGGTTCTGTTCTGGGTCTGCTTTGTTGCATCTGGTCCATGATGTCCTGAATCTGTTCTGCCCAGTGTCAGAAAACCTGGTCTCAGTCTCAGGTCATGGGTTCTCCAACAGGATCATGACCCAAAACCCAGCGAGAAACACCAAGAACGGATCAGAACCAAACACTGGACCGTTCGCAAGTAGCCTATGAGTCCTGACCTAGAGCTCTAGAATACCTGTGGACAGGTGCAGAAGTCTAACAGTTAGAGAAATCATTCGATTGCCTGAAAAGTTTTAGCAACTAAATTTAAAGTAGTAATGCGTAGTTTGTTTTATTCAACAGCGCCATCTAGAGGTCGGTAGATGCACCTCACCTTATGCCCATGAGCACACACCTCTAACCGACCAACATAGATAGCTAAAACACACCGTTTTACATCATTCTTCTCACGCCCTGCTGTTTATTCATATATACACTGAACACAAATTTAAGTACAACACTTAAAATTCACTTTCATTTCACAGACAACAGCTCTGGTAGACGTTCCTGCAGTCAGCATCTGTAGCATTGTGCTGTGTGATCAAACTGCACATTTCAGAGTGGCCTTTTATTGTGGCCAGTCTTAGGCACCCCTGTGCAATATTCATGCTGTCTAATCAGCACCAGTGTGGTGGGAGGGATTATCTCGGCAAAGGAGAAGGGCTCACAAACACAGATTGAGACAGAAAAGAAGCAAAAAGAAGGCTGGCGCAGAAAAAAGACTAACGTTTCGACACCCGCTGGTGTCTTCGTCAGAGTAACTCTGCTCTGACGAAGACACCAGCGGGATGAAGACACCCTCTTTTTGCATCATTGTTCTTTGCTGTGGAGCACCAACTGTTGACTGGATTATGCACAGAGGATCTTTGAAGCGATTACTATAGATTGAGACATGTTTGTGAATGGGAAATGGGTCTTTTGTGTTTATAGAAAACGTTCCAGATGTTTCGTTCAGGTGATGAAAAATGAGAGCAAAAACAAAAGTGTTCAGAATTTTGTTCAGTGTATAAATATTTTAAAGACCTACTTGTCCACTAATGCTGCATCTGTGTAGGAACGTGCTCAAACGCTCGCCCACGCTCTGTGGTAAGTGATGGCTAATGCTACTGGCTAACGCTGAGCAGCAGTCAACTCAAATTGTATGGGGCTGTATGGGACAGGGGATGGGCTTAACAAAAACAAAAATTATGTAATGGGAAAGAGGATCACTTTTATGGATTTGTAAAAAAATTCACACATAATTCCTGAAAGAGGGAAAACAGCAGAAGTATTGTGGGTTCGTCCTTTCTGTCTACACTGCTGTGGTGTGTGAGCAGGCTGCACCTTGCTGGAGGACGCGAGCAGGGAGCCGTCCTGCTTCCAGCTCAGACTGTGCAGCTGGTCGCCGTGCTGCTCCAAAGCTGCAGACACACAGATGATCACGTTAAAGAGCTCAAACACACTTTACTCGGGTTAGAAACAATAACAACAGTCATAAAGTTTATAAAGAGGACGCAGGACGATGCACACAACCAACACAGAGACAGCACATTCAGACAAGACAAAAACACGCTGTTCTCAAGACGTCACAACAGGAAATGAGTAAAAATGAAGATATAAAGCAAGCCCAGAGAGTTCAGAAAACACAAGGAAAGTATGCATGAGTTCCACAAAAGCAAGAGCTCCAATTCAGACAAATATAAAACAATGTGAGCATGAAACAAAACCGGCGAAGAGCCAGAAGTGAGCTGAGCACAGCTTGATGGAGTCACCAAGAAATAAAATGAAGGAGCTCTTGTTAAAACGAGAAGAGCCCAAACAAAAGCTCTCTTAGTGACTAATTTCTGCCTTTGTGTTTTGTTCTTCAGTCATAAATGCAAATTAGAAACCAAGGCGGTGACAGGTTTGTGGGGGGGTGCAGCTGGTGAGAGGGTGAATCAGTGATGAGCAGCAGGTATGCAATGTTTGTGATAGGGTGAGAAGGGGGGGGGGGGGACTTTATCCTGAGACTAGTCCAAAAAGACTGGCATCAGGACTGCAACTTCAAAAAGTATTACCTCTGCTGCTCCAGCACTTAGACAGAGCCACAGGGCTGTAAAACGTAGGCAGTGTCAGTCAGACATTTAAACACAGACCAGCTGCTTGACTCCAGTCCAAATTCATCATTATGTTCCACACACACACACACACACACGCTGCAGATTAACCGACAGACTGAAATGTTACATGTAAAGACACAATGTAGGACAAAGACAGACTGTGAAACATGACTGAGTGCTGATTTTACAGTCACCTGCTAGAGGCGCATCCTGGCGGCTGGTGTCCCAGATCAGAGGAGACCTAGCGGCACCAACAGCCAGCAAGCCAGAGGAGGTGGGGTGGAAGTGCAGGAGCTCCAGCCGGCCCTGGCCTGGACGGAGGGTCACCTCAGGACTGCTGGGCTGCTCCTGCTCAGGATCACACAAATGCCACAGCTTCACCTGCAAACGCAGAGTGGCTCATGTGAAAAGGATGTCTTCTTTTCTTCTCCATCTCTGAATCTTCTATATTTCACGGGGATTGGTTCTCGCCTGTGGCTGAAATTCCTCCCTACACACGTGTTTACGATCAGCGCACTCCGCTTGTTCTGAAGCCATTCCAGCTTTGCGACTACCAAACTTTTACATGAAATTATAATTGAAACTATTTCTAGTGAAGTAGCTCTAACTAGATCTGGCCCACTTTCCTCACTCAACGTTAACAGCTTCCGGTAAAAATAAAACTGCTGGCCTCAGATTCTCAAGTGTTTTTAAAGGTGCAAATGTGGCAAAAAACCAGAATGAGATTTTTCTGGTCAGTGAGGAAAACCGAGCTGCTGAGTTCGAAGATGCTGCGCCACGCTCAGCACCTTCGGCAAGCTAGCACGCCTGTCGCTGAGGAGAACGTCCTCAAAAAGGTTTAAACAAAACCCAAAGCTTTCACTCCTGCCAAGAACAACAACGTTCTGAAGGTAGGAAAATAAAATGATGTTGAGTGTACCGCAGGAAAGAAACCCACAAAGAAAGATCAAGGTCGTGCAGAAAGGAGGACACTACCATTTCATCTGCAGAGCAGGTGGCCAGAAGACCGGCATCAAATGGAGAAAAGTCCATATCAGTCACCAGATCTGGTGGGAAGGAAGGAAAAGCAGATGTGAGTCACAGCTGTTTGGCTAAAGGGAAACGTTTGCAGTCGTTTTTATTTATTGTCTTAAATCTGCTGAATAAAGCAAACACAATTAACCAGTAACAGCACAGCCTTTAACGTTGGATCTCTGCACATATCACATGACTCATGTCGTTTTTAAACATTAAATCACTAATCGAAAGGATGAAAATAGAAATACATCAAGAAATCAGCAGGTGAGTGGATCGGTTCTGCAAAAATCAGATTTTTTTTTTTTTGGTCCGTGAACGCAACATTGACCAATAATAATAGAACACCAGTAACAGCTGTTATAACAAAGTAAAGATCTTACATGTGGAAGTTTTTACTTCCAGGATCTGAATTTTCCATTTGAATGACTTTGTTAAATGTAGTTATTTGAAATGTGAAAGCTGTGCAGGCATCGTAATCCTGCATGAGCCCATTAAGAGTTATTCTCCTCTTAAATAGTGTAACTGCATTGTCAGAATCTTTGGTCATTTAAATTAAACATGTGCAAAACAGGAGGGACATACGTAAAAACTTACCAGCATGGCAGGAAATCTGGGCGACTGTCCGTTGGCCATTTGAACCAGGTGTGACTGAAGTCAGGCCCACTAAGCCCCCACCTGCAGATATGTGCAACATACAGAAAATGGATTAAATCCTATTTATGATACATAAATAAGATCTATTTAGTGAGGGTCCACTGAGGCTTTAATAAATCCAGGCATAAATAAGCAGAACAAACACAAACCAAGCTAAAAGCATTAATGCATTAAGGTCGGTGTCACTCCATTAGACATACCAGCCTGATCGGTGTTAAAAGCTACCAGCTTGGAGCTTGCTTTGATGCGGTTCCCCTGGCTGGAAAAGGAGCCAGCGCTCACATCGCTGATCCATTCCTGAATTACAAAACAAGAGGAGCATGAGAAAAAAGATCATAAGAATGCAGGGAGAAAACAGACTGTTTCATAGTGTCAAGGAGAACACACAACAAAGTTATTATAACTCTTTGTAAACAGGAAGGACCTGAGTGCAGACATTTCAGAAAGAGCAGAGCTGAGGAAGAAGAAGTGCTCCCTGCGCGGCACAGCAAGCAACTTTTAAAGCTGTTGTGCAACCTGCAGCCTGAGGACCTCTCAGAGACAGCTTCTCTCTGAAAAACATTAGTCGCTTGGTTTGTGTAGCTCTCCAAGTGGCATTCAAAGACGTGCATGAATGTTTAAACAGCTTCTCTCGAAAGAAAAATGAGACCTGATTTTAAAAAATGAAAAAAGTCTTCCTAATAATTCAGCTGATGGGTTAGAAATTATAGCACAGCGCTAAGAGAGCTCAGGGCAGTCTTAGATTCTGACATGTTAAGAATCCTAACAGTAACATCAGACAAAGCATCACACCGGTTACCTGGAACAAGACGTGCCTCACTGGAAACAAGAACCTGGCAGCATGACCAAAGTTTGCAAATTTGCAAAGAAACACAGGAAAAGGAAAAAAAACAAATCCCACCTGCTTTCCAGCACGGTGGTGGAGGATTAATGATGTGTGACTGATAACACCTGACAACCATGTAGTCGCTGAGCTGACCATTTGCTGTCCCCCGCTCAACAGCTGAAACATTGCTCAGATTAGGTCATAGGAGTACTAATCTACAACTACTAGTTTAATTATTTAACTCGCTGAGTTTTGGGTTTAACTGTAACGCACTCGCTCATATTTAGAAAGTGATTTAGCAACAAGAGCATCAAAAGACGAGTGGAAGGACATCTGAGGACAAAGATATTCCTCTTTACCTTGCTTAAAAGTCTCTCCTTCCTCCCCTGTGCCTGGTCACTGACTCTGCCTCGTGTCCTATTTTCACTCGTGCAGTGTTTGAAACGATAACACGTGACTCAGTCACGGCGACTGCAACAGCACGGCCAACTCAAGTGCAGGTTTAACATTCACAGGAGCAAGGCACCACCTCCACGTCCGCCAGTGGATGCAGGAGTTACGTAAAAGACAAAGTAAAAGGAAGCTGCGTGCTCTGTAACTTTGAACTGAACGAAGAGAGACAAACAGATTTGTATGCAAGACGTTTGAAATGTGGTCCAGACACGTCGACTCTTGCAACAATTGTTGTCTAGCAGCCATTCCAGCTGATAGCATCCAACATTTTTTTAATTCTGTCTTTCTCTCTGATTCCCAGCAAACCATAAAAAATCTAAACGAGCACAGAAAGCAGAGGATAAATTAACATTAGTAATAGACGTGTAATAGGTGTAAATTAATATACATCCCTATTTATGCTAGCTCTTCCATTCCTTTATTAGGTAATGTGGTAGAAAATGTGTTTTATATTCTCGTGCCGTCTCCTTGTTTTGGGCTTCCAGGTGCAGGAAGTGCAACATCCCTTAGCGTACAGGCGTTTCCCAAAGTAGCTCTGCTTTTTACCTGTGATAGGGTGTTAGCTAGGAGAGCTTTTTATCTACCTGCTAGTGCGCTACTTACATCTTTCTTGGCTATTCTCGGAGTGGTGTTTTTGAATTTGGAGGTCTTAAACCGATTCATCTTGCCCTCTCAAACTGACTTTGGTGCCTTCCGGGTGTCTCAGTCGAGCGGGTTGGTGATACTGCACTGTGCTCCAGTTGCAGCTGACAGCTTCAGGTTTGCCGCGCAGTGTTTGCTCGCTTTGTCTTTCCGAGCTGTCCGATTGGGCGGAGACTTTCCTCAGCTAACCAAAACGATACGGTTCTCTGTCACGTGCAACCCCGGAACATAAATCAGTTGCATCACTGATTACTTGTCAGCTGATTCTGAAACCAAATAATTAATAATTGAATTTAGATGTGTCTGTTTTTACTTTTATTCATTATGTTTGGAGTGTTTAAAAATAAACAATTAAAAATTATATAAAAGTTACTATTTTACTCAGAGCGCAGTAACGCCCTCTCCGTCTTGGGCATGCGCAGTGTATCTAGAGCCGGTGAGAACGATGGCGTCTTCAGCTGCTATCTGTTCCTCACGTTGGATTACATCCGTCGTGTCCTCTGGACCTCGAAGGGCAGCCGGTTCCCTTTTATCCTCTGATAATGTGGGGTTCCGGCGGTTTTCTACCCTGGGAGAGGGGTACCTGTGCCGCGGAAGGGGCCAGTTGTGCGGCAAAGAAGGAAAAGCGTTGACATTGAGAGGGCTGTCAGGTGGTGTATCTCTGCCAAGGCTAAGCTAGGCTAGGCTAAAGCTGCAACTCCTTTCTGAAACGACGTAAAACTAAAACAACTACTTCAAAGTTAACCTATATCAGCCCAAAATCTCTGTAGTGGTGTTTTAAGTTTATAACACTCACACATTCACTCAAAAGCGCATTAAGTATGTTGTTTAAACGACATGTAATCAGGTCACTACTTTCTGACTGGGTGATCTGGTGCAGGTCATTTCTAATATTTAATTGTGCTTTTTGTTTTTATTTCGTTGACTACCTCCACCTTTGATATGATTTACAGTTTAGCCATGTAACAATAATAGCTTCCAAGATAAGTATTTATGTTAATACCAACGTGTATCTTGTGTAATGATTTAGAGTTGCCACAGTGCCACCAGCACTAGTGACGGCGCGTCCTAGCTGGTTATGTACAGTAATGTGTTAAAAATCTAATCCATTCCTCATTTCCTGCTACTTTACTTCCTGACTGTTGTAATTAAAGTCTTAGACGGAGGCAGTTTTACCCTTTTAGGCTGTTTTACCCTTTTCTTCAGTCCACCCACCACGGTGTGCTTAAACAAAAGAAAATTACTACAGTTGAACTCTCTCTGACCAGACACGGGTCCTGAGGGATGCTTTGTCCTGATCATCTTTGGATACCTGAAGAACTTTTGATCAAGATGACGTTCAAAGCAAAGTATAAAGTCGTTAGTTGTTGTTTCATAAGTGTATTTTATCATAATAAATAATCAGACTCACAGCATTTGAGACCGAGATGGACCTCATTAGGGTTTCTCCATAACTAACCCAACAGCTTCAGCTACAGCACTGTACTTACCCTCTCACTCTGTTGGACACCTTTCAGGCCTCAAACCCACCCACGCCGTATACACAGCGTCCTTCCACACAAGTGTCCCTTGGAGCAGCAAGCAAGACTTCTACCAGGTTCTTGGGGTACCTCGCACCGCAACTCAGAAAGAGATAAAGAAAGCGTACTATCAGGTCCGTTCCTGCCTGAGCGACCTTTAGCTGGTCTGCTATCTCAGTCATTGACGTTGTTTTCTGTGTAAACTAGATGGCCAAAAAGTACCACCCTGACACCAACAAAGAGGATCCACAAGCTAAAGAAAAATTTGCTCAACTGGCTGAGGCATATGAGGTTTGACTTCAGGCTTGCAGACACATGAACTGGAGTTTTCTTAAAATGAATGAATATCTTTTTTTAACCCTTGCCCTTTGGTCCTTGCAGGTTCTTAGTGATGAAGGGAAGAGGAAGCAGTACGACACTTATGGCTCAGCAGGGTTTGATGCTGGTCAGGCAGGAGGAGGGCAGCAATACTGGAGAGGACAGGCCAGCCACATGGACCCAGAGGAGCTTTTCCGCAAAATCTTTGGAGAATTTTCCGGAGGCCGAGGCTTTGGAGACATCAACTCCATGTTTGATCAGCCACAAGAGGTTAGAGGGATGTGGGTAAAGGAAAATAGAGGTGTATCATTTAGCGTGGTTGTTCACTGACTTGTTCGGATTTTTGCAGTATATGATGGAGCTGACATTCACTCAGGCTGCAAAGGGAGTCAACAAGGAGTTGCCTATCAACATAGATTTGACGTGCCCGCGCTGTGACGGTAAAGGCCATGAGCCGGGCACCAAGGTTCAGCACTGTAACCACTGCAACGGCTCCGGCATGGTAGGGACTCTCACACTTTGTTGTCATAATGTAAAACGCATTTCTAAACACGTGCTATCCGTCTGTTAGGAGACCATAAACACCGGCCCGTTTGTGATGCGGTCCACGTGCCGTCGCTGTGGTGGCAAAGGGTCAGTCGTCTCTACGCCCTGCACCTTCTGTCGGGGCTCCGGGCAAACCAAGCAGAGGAAGATGGTGATGGTTCCGGTACCTGCAGGTCTGTTTGGTTGGGTTTTCCTAATATCCTAAAATGAGCTGGTAAACCCCCCAGATGGGCTTTGTTTGTGTGGGTGCCCTGAAACTGACCCATGTGCTGCCGTCCTGCGTACGAGAGATTCTGTCATCGCTACTAAAGCGCATTTCTATAAAAGCCTAAAACACTGATTGAGTGAGCAATTTCTAGAAATCTTCATGAAAATACAACCATTTAAATTTATTTGCAAGGAGTGTAGTGCCATTTATTTGTCCTCATATCGGTACTCGTTATCATCAAATACTCAAAAGTGAGTACTCGTACTCGGTTTGAAAGTATCTGGTGTTAGTGCATCCTTATTTAAAATTTAATTGTTTTACTCAATATTTAAAATGATCTTTAAATACAGCTCTACAAAGGAAGATGTATCAGGTTGTGTAACAAATTGGTTTTCTTCCTGGAATAATTTCATAAAGTTGCAGCCTTTTGTGCTGTAGCTACACTACATTATGCATGTTTTGGTAAATGTCTTTAATCAGTCAGTATTTTTTGTGTGATTATTTTAGGGAGATCTCTCAAAGGTATTAGAACTACATCTTAGCTAAATAATGTGTAAATGTTTGCAGGGTATCCGCGGGTCTTTAAAAAGTCTTAAATTTACCTTTCCAAATTTAAGGCCTTGAAAATCCTTAAAAATGACAAATAATCCTTAAATACAGTTTCCAAAGGTCTTAAATTACCAAAGACCCAATAAACTAGATTATTTCATTTCTATGACATTTTCGTGAATTTCAGCATTTTTTGTGTACGATGTTGGCGTAAGCGGAACCGTACACATTCAGTTGGTTGTGAAAGGGGACTATTTTTAGATGAGCACGTTAGCTGGTTAAGCTAGTGGGAGCTTGCGCCATGGAGAAGTGCAAGTTTAATGGTAACTGGATGGCTAATCCCACGTTCGCGACGTGGTTAGCACCGGTTCCAGGCAATAGCCGGAAATTATAGCTTAAAATTAATTTAACAAATAGCTTAAATTTGGATCTGGATGGAAAGGAGTCAGTTGAGGTGGTTTGGGCATCTGGTCAGGATGCCTCCTGGACGCCTCCCCGGGGAGGTGTTTCGGGCATTTCCTGCCGGCAGGAGGCCCCCGGGTCGACCCAGGACACGTTGGAGAGGTTACATCTCCAATCTGGTCCGGGAACGCCTTGGGGTCCTGCCGGAGGAGCTGGTGGAGGTGGCTGGGGAGAGGACGGTCCGGAGCTCCCTAGTTGGGATGCTGCCCCCGCGACCCGGACCCGGATAAGCGGAGGAAGACGACAACTAGCTTAAATTTGGTCAAAGTGGCCTTAAAAAGGGTCTTAAAAGGTCTTAAATTTGTCTCCCTTAAACCTGCAGATACCCTGTGTTTGGTGCAGTTGTTTACCAGGATTATCTAACTGGATCTGCATAGCCTCTGCCTTCTTCTATAGCTCGTTGGGTTTCTTCCTGTTTGCTGCCTTTTATCCAGATAACTCAGAAGTCGTGTTTAATTTTCTCTAGCATCAGTCACACTTGTGATTTAGTCCTGTGATTCCAGGCCAGTAAAAATATAAACTTTATGATTTATTTTTGCTTTAGGGGTGGAGGACGGTCAGACAGTCAGAATGCCTGTTGGAAAGAAGGAGATCTTCATCACATTTCGGGTTGGTGTCCTCTGGAACTGCTGGCTGGTTAAATGTTGGAACATGTCTGCTCAGCATTAGGAGGCGTTTACCCTTCCACACCATTTATGATTATGTGTCCAGGTCCAAAAGAGCCCAGTGTTCAGAAGAGACGGGGCAGACATTCACTCTGATGTTCATGTCTCTGTGGCACAAGCCATCCTGGGTGGCACGGTCAGAGCACAAGGACTTTACGAAACGCTGAATCTGTCTGTAAGTACTGATTTATATACTCCAGATTCTAGGATGATATTCTAATCTGAAACTGTTTCATAGTAAACTGCTGGAGGTTTTGTTCTTCAGATCCCAGCAGGAGTCCAGACTGACCAGAGGATCCGTCTGACAGGAAAAGGAATTGCCCGAGTTAGTGGTCATGGCTTTGGTGATCATTACATCCATGTAAAAGTAAAAATACCAAAGTAAGTCTCCAAAAACGTGTGTTTTTCGGTAAAGTCCTTGCAGGCGTGTAATTTTCACATGCATGTGTTTGTTCCCTGAACACAAGTGAGAATAAAATGCTGTTTTTTGGTCAGATCTCTGACGGACAGACAGAGATCCATTTTAATGAGCTACGCTGAGGATGAGACGGACGTGGAGGGGACGGTGAACGGAGTGACTAACACCAGTACAGGTACCATGACGCGCTCCGATGAGGATGTGTTTTATTCTCTCCGGACAATGGAATGCATTTAAGAGTTTTACATCTCTGGTCCATGAAATCTGGTTTAACCAGTGGAAGTCGTCTTTATATGCAGTGCTGTTATCTGACCAGGTGGGGGCAGTATTGCTGGTCTGAGGCAGGTCAGCTTAGTGTAATCAGCATGTTATACTAATTATTCAGCCACCAATAAGAGATATATGTTTATTTATTGTAAATTATTTTCTTTGGCTCCACTTTTTAGTGCTTGTTGTCTGTATATTATGCAGAATAGAAAACAATAGAATAGACTTCAATAATCCCACAGTGGGGAAATACTCTAGCTAGAGCAGCACATACACTTGGAGAAAAGGAAGAAACAAAATAACAAGATTACAGGTAAACACACAAAAGCAGTAAACTGTTATTGTAACCTTCAACTACAAAAAAGTTTACAAAACTATGCAGCATAAGGGTCACAGACATACTGATGTACAGAGTCAGGTGTTGCACACATACTGAGTATTGCATTGCTGTTATTGTGTACCAGGATAATGCCAGTACCAGTTAAACTCAGGAGTGGTACACTCTTACTGCAGAGGGGATGAAAGACCTACGGTAGCATTCTGTTTTACATCTGCGATGTCTCCGTCTGCCTCTGAAGGAATGTCCGTGGCCTCTCAGTGGAATGCAATGGGTGGGAGGGGTTTTCCAAGATGTAGGTCATCCTCACCACCATCCTCCTTTCTAGAGCCCTGCACGGGCCTAAAATCTGAGCCCGTGTCCGGCCCGGCCCGAGAGGGTGGAGCCCCAGCCCGACCCGGCCCAAAAAGGTTTTCAGGATTCTCTGGCCCGACCAGAGCCCGACTTTTTTTTAACCAACTAAATGAAAACAAAGTGCGTCAATCCTGACCAATAAGTTAAAAGACGTGCAGGATCCGATCGATTTGTTTTTCCCTCGTTTACCGTCACGGAGATAACTGCGCAGGCTCTGGTGGTAATCAAGTTAAATTTGATCTCTTTCCAACAATTTTCACAAGAAAACAGAACAGTCAAAAGCAGGGCTTGTGATGTGTTGACCGGATAGTTCCCGTATTTGACCGTTTATTTTGACGGAGAAAGAATAGAAAGAATTACCCCGACGCATGCAGACGAACTGACATTTTATTCTACTCACATCGCAGATGTAGCTAAATCACACAAGAAAAGATTCCCATCTGAACATCTGAGCTGGACACTGCTCAGCGCAGCTCGCTGTCAGCGCATATGTGCACAGCGAGCTGAAGATGTGGAGAAGGGCTTGGAGCACATCGCAGAACCAGAGCGCATGCGGGAAGGTTCCTCCCACTGAAGCGAGTGTTTTCCTAACACTGTCTCTCAGAGAGACTTGTCACTTAGAAAATGTTCACTGATTATGAAACTTTGGCTGAATAGTGCTTGTTCCTGTCTCCAATGTGGCGACACATCCAGGAGCCGTCTGAGGAGAGTCCCAGAATCTCACATCCTCTTCAGCTCAGAAAGCGCCTATGATTACGCACAAGCGTGACGCGTCAACCCGGTCTCACAGTAAGACCGGGTTGGGCCTGTTCAGGTTTACGCAGACAATCTTTACATAGAATTGACTTACAGATATAAAATTAATTCAGTAAAATATAAAGCATTTTATTTAAATATCCATTCAATATTTTACAAGCACAGAGAGCCGCATCAGATTCTGAATTCAGTCGGAGGAATCTTCCCGCATGCGCTCTGGTTCTGCAACACGCTCCAAGCCCCTCTCCACATCTTCAGCTCGCTGTGGACCTTAGTACACGCTGACAGCGAGCTGCGCTGAGCAGTGTCCAGCTCAGATGTTCAGAGGGAATCTTTTCTTTAGTGATTTAGCTACATCTGCGATGTGCGTAGAATAAAATGTCAGTCCGTCTGCATGCATCGGGGTAATTCTTTCTATTCTTTCTCCTTCAAAATAAACAGTCAAATATGGGAACTATCCGGTCAACACAAGCCCTGCTTTTAACTTTTCTGTTTTCTTGTGAAAATTGTTGCAAATTAAACTTGATTAACACCAGATCCAGGCGCACTGCGCCGGTATCTCAGTCGCTGTAAACGAGGGAAAAACAAAATGATCGGATCCTTTTCTGACCTTCCCCACCTACAAAGTTTAATTACAACAATCAAACGTGACACAGCCTGGATTTGTATTCTGAACAGTCTAAACATGTTTTAAAAAGAAACGTATGACAAAAGTGGCACCTGCTCAGTAAAACAACCAACAGGGTGAAAAATATCAAAATATTGTAGGCAGAGACGGGCTACAACTTCTGGATCCACTTTATATAAATCGTTTTATTGATTATCTTCTTATGAAAGATAGCTTTGACGTACACGAGCGACCGGTACCGGTTGCTGTCACCTGCTGTGAGCAGCGCTCTGCTGTCTGAGGGTAGGCCCCGCCCACAACGCCGCGGCTGCTGTGGCTCCCAGTGTTTTCTTTACTGTGGGAAACGGGTAATAATGGCTCTTTGATGGGAACAGGTTGCCGACCCCTGGTTTAAGTGTTTCAATTTTTTTAAATGAATTCGATTAAAAATAAAGGCGCCCAGCCCGTGTCCGAGGTAATTACACAGTCGTTGGCCCGAAGCCCGGTCCGAGGGCCGTCGGGCCGGGCCGACCCGAGGGCCTAGGGCTTCAGTGCAGGGCTCTACTCCTTTCACACATCTCAACTAAATCTAGTTGGCAGCTCCGAATCGAGCTAGCTTTGTTATCTAGCTTGTTCAGTCACTGTCTCGGTCAGAGCTGCCTGCACCCCAACAGACCACAACAGAGTGATAAAAGGGTTTTAGCAGATGGGAATTAACTCTAACGGACCTCAGCCTCCTCAGGAGGTGGAGGTGGCGTTGGCCCTTCTTATACAGAGCGTCCGTGCTGTTGGACCAGTTCAGTTTACTGTTGAGGTCAACACCCAGGTACTTAAAGGTATCCACCACCTCAATGTCAGCTCTCTGGATGTTTACTGGTGAGTGAGTGTTTGTCTGGAAGTTGATCACCATTTTCTTTGGCTAAGTGGTGTTCAAGCGACGGTGGTTACGCTCACACCAGTCCACAGAATCTGTGGAGTTGCGTCTGTTAAAGAACAAGTTGTTGGCCCAGTTCTGATTGCCCAGCTTTTTCCTGTAGCTGTCATTAGATCTTATATTTGAGCTCCTTCTGGACTCTTCTCTGCTCCTCTTTGTCTCCAGCCATAAAACCTTTCTTTTTATTTAGCAAGTAATTGAGCTCAGGGGTCAGCCAGGGCTTATTATTCCAGAAACGCCTCACTCTTCGTGTCGGTAGTGTTCTCTACACAGAAGTTCACATGATCAGTGACAAAGTGGGTTAGGTTATCAAGGTCATCTTCATCAGTGCTGCAGTGTCTCCCAGTCAGTGGTTTGGATGCAGTCCTTAGGCTCTCAGTAGCTTCGTCAGACATTTAGTGGTTTAACATAAACATGCTCTCATGAGTTTGATTTATGACACTTTCTCTATAATTGTCTCAATCCTGAATTTCTATGATGTTCTTTGTTTCCTCTGAAGGTAAAAGATCTTTCTCAAACTGAGGCGGGTTAAAGGACGGAGGACAGAGTAAAGCAAGGACGGCATCATCAGGAGCCACAGAGAAACGAGAGCTGGGGGTTGAGTCCTGGAGACTTCTTTGTGATGGCTTATTATAAAAGTTCCTGCCAAAGTCAAAAGATTCATCCTTGTGTTCTTCTGATGAAGTGGATCAATAGACAAGAGGATGAGTCCGTTTGTTCATCACCTCCCTGTCAAACGTCTATGGAGGCCAGTGTTACTGTAAAGACGTGTCCTGTCTCACAGCATCCAGTGCTAAACAGAAACAATGATGGTAGCAGAAGCAGAGCCTATACATGAGAATAAATTATTGTGATGGTGAAGCCTTTCGAAACAGAGGAAAGTCAGATTAGGATTAAATCCTGTGGGTAATCTGGTTCTGTAGGATTAGTCGGACTTGGTGAGTGCGTTGGATGGGAGATGTAGACGTGTTTTTACAGGTGAGGGCCCGCTTTCCTTAATGATGATGCTTAATTTCACCGCTTTACCTTTTTTCTTTTGTACCATGATTGCATTTATAACATCAACAGTTCATTTATGCATCATAAAATCACAGCAGCTATAGTAACTCAGTTGTTTTTATGAACGAAAACGTCTCCATCAGCCAGCCGCTGTGTAACCAACCATGACTTCTTCTGTCAAAGCAGAAATAAACCCAGTATAACTCATGTTTTACTGTTTTAACCCTTGTTGAGGTGAACCAGACTAAATTTCAATGTTTAACTTCATTTTTTTCTCCCACCCCAAAAATATCAATGATCAACAGAATCGGTCACTTTTGAGGAGAAAGTCTAAATGCATAAAAACACAATTCAGCCCTTTTAGTATGAAGAATAAAACATTTTATTACTGGAAACATGAAATAACCCCAGGTTTCCTCCTCGTACAGTAAAGTGCATTAGTTAGTCACAGCAAAGCTCCGCTTCATGCTAAACATGCTTTAATGGCGTTTACTGTTAAAATACTGATAATGATCAGTTTTCTGACCACGAGTCCACCTGAAGGAGCTCTGGTAACAACACACCAGGCATCGCCACATTTACTATATCTATGCACAACAGCTGCTAACCAAAAGAAACATTTAAAGGTGGAAGTTTTGTGCAAAAACATTTTTGGTGATCTGGTCCAAGCTTGCTAGAAAATGTTGAAATAAGGAAAACACAAAGCAGGAAGCTTGGGGAGGTTTTCCCAGCACCGTAGGGGTGATGGAGAATTTATCAGGAGAGAAACATTCGAATCAGAAACGCTGCAGAACCCCCTTCTAGTCCAAACGTCACACGTTTATCCATGAGCACGGTTCAATCGGCTACTAGTCCTAAAAAGGCTCCTGTAGGTTAACAGAATGATGAATTATGGGAAATTGAGCTGAGGACTAGTTATGGTTAACGTGCACTAGAATAGATTATTAGTTTATCTCATAAAGTTACTTTTTAATCCACCACTTAGATTGTGTGTTCCTGTCCTGAGTCACAGCACACACACACACACACACACGTCTTACCTTTCCATAAACCTTTTTCGATTTGATATGAATGATCCAATTAGGCAGTTTTCACAGATTTATTTAAAAAACTCATAAATACAGGGATGTATTTACTTCCACATATTTTCGATACATTAAATATCAACCAGCAGGCCAGCTGGTTAAAAACCTGCCACACCGAATGCTTTCCCATCGACTCATTAGCTGATGGTGCCATTAAATCCAGTTACAGCTCTGAGTGCTAAATGAACCAAGCCTGCCACAGCAGCCATGTTTATGACAGTCACACATGACCCGCGTCATGCCTCGCACACATCAGCAGCGCTTCAGGTGAACTGAAGGTCAGGTGATTTTTTTTTTCCCATGACCGCTTAATTCCATCCAGATTAACAGACTTGTTAAGCTGCGCTCAAGGAGGAGCGAGCCATAACTAAACTGCTTTTATATTTCCTGTTAAGGGACCACGACACAATTAAGTCATGTAACAAACATCTGATGCTTATCTAAGGGCAACTTTTTTGCTGACAAAGCCTTGGAGGACATTCAGAAAAGTGTTTTGCTTGTGGGGATATTTGTGAACATCTTGATTTTCTAAATCTTCGCTGCTATTTTTCCTACTGGACAATCACAGAGTGAAAGGATATTGCATTTGGAGGTAGACAAAAGAAAAGGTTGTACTTTATGAAGGGAGCTGGCATCCTAGTGGTCCTACAGGTCGTGTTATGCTAATTCTAAAACTAAAACCAGAACGTTAGAACATCAGCACACATGGACCTGGTTTAGACGTTTGTATAAAGTGTTCCGTCGGCAGGAACCTTCCAGTCTTCTCATCGTCCTTCCTTTGACATGTCTCTGTCTCTTGAGTTACCAGGCTGACTGCTGGATCACATCAGGTACCATGCAGCCAGTCCAGCCAGAGCAGCGAACCAGGTGGCACACAGAACCTGCCCTGTCGGGTGTCTGAGGACTGCCATGACCAGCTGGCACATGTAGGCTTTTCCACCGGATGCAGCTGCATTACAGAAACACAAACTCGAGCGTAAAAACGAGGACACACAACATTAGCCTCTCAAAAAGCACAGCGCTTACCCATTTTAGCAGCGTAATAGGGGCATTTGCTGATGTCTCCACCCACTGCTCCATGAACAGCCATCCCAGCATCCAACACATCCTCCTGAATTGTTTTACCAAACTCTTCTAACTCCTCAAACACCTGCCAGAATACACATTGTCTGTATTTTAGTATGACCTGCAGGAACCCATGTGGATAACACGAGGCCCTCACATGAAAAAGCTATGAAGTACTCAGTTTGACTCTCACCTCCATGTTAAAATAAAAAGCCTTAACAGCTTCCTCCACCAGCCTCCTTTTGGTCTCCTTGTCCAGATCCAGCTCGTTCATCCGACTCCGGTAAAGTTGTTTGAACGCTTTAGCACTATGGATCCCATCAAACTGGTAGAACGCCACACCTTCTCCTGTAGGCGGCAGCTTCAAGGCTCTCTGTGCCACCTTTTTCAGCACCTGGCCCCCTGACAGGTCACCCATGTAGCGGGTGTAGGCGTGGGCCACCAGCAGCACCGGGTCCTCCTGTCCCACCTGGTGAATACGGTCCACATAACGTTGGGTGGCTTGGGAGCAGCTGACTTGGCCCTTCCACTCTGGACCATAAAAGTACTCCAAGTCACGAGCCAGAGCTTCATGACGGTGCAGCTCGGCAGGAAAATACAGAGGGGCAAAGTGGGGGTGGTCCTTATTCCTTTCGATTTCCTCCTCCATGGCGGTATATGTGTAGTAAAGAGCCACATGACCAAGCTGAAGAGACCAAGAACAAGACATAAAACATCAACCCTTCACAGGACTTCCTTGACTAAAGCTCAACAAAATTCTCTGAGGCGTCGAATATTTGCAGTCCGATTCAAAGATTTTTGCTGTTTCCTTCCATTTTTTAATTACTTATTTAATCGTGCATTTACTAAATTTACTTACACGTTTTATTTGTCTCTCAAACAACAACTAATCATGTTTAAGCCTGAGCGTGCTCTTCCTGTTGTGTGTCTTAACAAACACATTTTAAAGATTATTTTCTTCAGTCTGACCTTGAAAAGCTCCTTGCGAATACGCCCCCTGAGGAAATCTTTCACAAACTGCGTGTTCTCGGCCTTTTCATGAACCTCCTTGGTCCCTGCTGCCAGCATCTCAGACAAGTCCTCTGGACTAGGAAAGAAAACATGAATGACAATAAATTCATTGCATAGTCGACAGAACAGCAGAAACAAAACTAGCTTGGAATCTATTTAGTAAAATATTTTTAGGTGCAGAGAAAATTACCTGAGATGATTTTCTTTTTCCTCATATCCAGGTCCATTGGAGACACCCGCTGTTGTTTCCATCCTCTCTGAAGATATTTGTTAACTGATTATTACCTAGGACCATATAAAATGCACTGACATATAAGTGAAAAAACATTTTAAATCATATCTACTTTTATCACTTACTGTATATTTTGCATGTATTAATACATGCCTCCAGATCTTATAAAAAGGTGCTCTGGTGTCTGTAAATTGTGGAAAATGTGTTTAAAATGATAATTTTTCTTTCATAATTGCATTTGTTTTATAAGCTATACCTGTAATTTCATAATTTAAGTGCAATACAAAACGCACAAGGCAGAAATGTAAAGTTGCAGCGATGGATGGAGTTCTAGTCTAGAACTTCTAGACACATGCAACAGTTGTTGGAACATCCATGATCTAAACACGTCATGCATCACATCACAAACAGGGGAGGCCACAGAGCTCAATAAGAACACCATACAACGTTTTACAATCACCAGATCCAAACGTCCTTCCTTACATAATCACTAGATCCACTTTTAACACACAAGGCTGATAGTTAATAAACAACAGAACCACTCATCTAAGGGGAAACAAAAAACACAAAGCGTGATAAAAAAAATCCGTGCACTTCACTCTGTTCTGACACCGATCAGCTCATGCCCCCCCTACTTTTAGCTTTTAACCTTACTTATCCTGACAAGACTGAGAGTAATTGTTGATAGTTAGTCTGGCTGGTCTACACACTGAGTAAAAACACCCCAAAAAGAAATAAACGGTAGTTCAAAACACACAACAGGCCTTCTGGTGTTTACCAGAGTCACTAGACGCTGATAAGAGTTGATGCTTTGTTTAAGAAACCGACTCTATTTTAATTAAGCTAAACAAGACACTATATTGTAACGCCAATCATTGGCAAAGGGAAAGGGAAAAGTAAATGTCCATGAATGAACGTACTTGGAGCAGGTTATTACGATAGTTAACTTTATTAACGAGTGAAGTCAGCTAAAGCTAGTCTACGCAGCATTGTGTCAAGCTAACAAAGTCGTTTAAAAATGACGATTGACGCTATTAGACACCAAATAATATTTGTCAGTGTTTCCTTATAGAATATGCTAACAAAAGGCTATAATTCAGAAAATCAACTAACCTTTACAGTAGAGTAACAAGCAGTAACAAGCGAATTAGAACTGAACTCCAAGATGCGAACCTTCTCCCGGAAGCGTTTTTTGGAATTCTAGGGTGAACAAGGAAGGTCCCGCCTTTCTCGCCTCTGATTGGCTAGATGGGCTCTACTACGATTGGCTATTTCATTTAGCAGCAAACCGTCTTCCCTTGCTGTACAGACTATCCTCTTGCCACCAACAGAACAGCCTTTTTATTATTATTGATTTATTTAGAAAATAAGAACTTAGCGCCATTCTGTCCTGTTTTGCAAAAGTTCTTTTGTTTCATTGATTAAGAACTGAAAAACGTAAGAAGTGAACTTATAAAACTTGTTGCATTTATCACACTGTGGGACTTATTTTATGGCTCTAAAGCATTGAGGTTATCTTATTACAGCAGAGTACATAGGATAAACGTGTGTGCCTTACCTGGGTATGAAATATAATAAAACTGCCCTATTTTACACAGCTGTGTGCAGCAGGTCTGTTTCTCTTGTAGAAAAATGAAAACTGCTGAAAAATAGGTCTAAATCATAATCAGAATTGAATTAATTTCAATTAAATAAACAGATTTAAACACATGAAAGATGTGTCCTCACTGTCATCCCGCTTGCTTAATAGCCTCAGCCTATGAAAGTATTTCCAAATTGTTATCAAAAGGCATGATCATGGAAATACACCACACCGATTACATCACAGATTTTATTGAACAAGTACAAAACACCTGTGTGTGTGTGTGTGTGTGTGTGTGTGTGTGTGTGTGTGTGTGTGTGTGTGTGTGTGTGTGTGTGTGTGTGTGTGTGTGTGTGTGTGTGTGTGTGTGAATAAGTATAATGAACTGGCAGCTATGTCATCAGCAAACAACAGATTAGATGAACATTTGAGGGCATGCCTATTATTTTTAACGTGGCTTTTGAAAAGCTGATGTTAGCTTTGTCACAAAGGCATATTTACCTCTGCTCAGATATCTACATCAGTTGCTTTGCTAGCTTAGCTTTCAGGCCGCAAGCAAAGGCCGCTGTTGTCTGCCGCCCCCGCGAATTTTCAGCCAATCGTAGTAGAGCCCATCTAGCCAATCAGAGGCGAGAAGGGCGGGACCTTCCTTGGTCACCCTAGAATTCCAAAAGACGTCTTCCGCAATGCTAACGGCGCTAACGGTCGTTTTTACCTGGTTTTTAGTGATGGGAATTCCGGCTCTTTTTAGAGAGCCGGTTCTTTTGGCTCAGCTCGCCAAAAAGAGCCGGCTCTTTCGGCTCCCAAGTGGCTCCTAAGATTTTCTGTTGCATAGAGTACATTTATAACCAAAATAATGCTAAACTATATTTAAGATAATTTACTAATGTAAAAAAAGCAATATATCAAATGTTTATCATTTCTATGGATTTAATAACTGAACACGTTAAGAAATCTCCACTTTCCGACTGCTGGCGCTCATTTTCTCACCGACTTCGTCGCAGTCTCCTCCCTCTCGCTCGCCTTTTTCCTCCTCATTCCCTCTTGTCTCCCTCCTCCCACATGTGCTCTGCTGTGTGTCTGTCTGAGTCTGATCCTCCCTCTTCCCCGCCCCTACTGCTCTGTGTGGACAGTCTGGACACACAGTTACGCATGTTGACCAATCGCCTGTGGCGTTCACCAAGGCAGAGGGGGAGGGGGGCGGCTCCCAATGACGAGCCGGCTCCCATCGTTCACTTCAAAGAGCCGGTTCTTAGAGCCGGTTCGTTCGCGACTGACACATCACTACTGGTTTTTACCCGGCCTGGCGAGTCGGGCACTTTACTGGATTCCAGAAAACACAGGATCAGATGGTATTTCCTTGTGCAAGAACATACAAATACTTGGCCTACTTAATGGTGGATGGTAGAACTGCAGGAAAAAATTTCTGGGACGCATCCTCAGTAGTGTTCCTCTGGATCATGGGGTGTTTCGGCCTTTAACCCTCCTCAGAGGCGGCCAGCTGTAGGTTGGTCAGACAGACCTCAGCTTGCATTCCAAGTCCAATTAGCCATTAAATTGTGCAACCTGGCACACTACTTGGGGGGCCCAAATGGGGTAATTCCTCTTCTTTCTGCTGCCTCTGATGTAGTTTTGATGGCTCTGCACTGTTTCTGTACTAGTACTAGTGTAATTTGTAGTTTTCAATACAGCGAATTGGAGTTTGTTCGCTCTCTTGAATGTGAAATTATGGAAATTTCAGACTTATCTAAATGATACAATTTATTTGAAGTTAAAAACAAATTCTATTCACCATTCTTTTTAACAATTAATTACACTATAATTTAAAGCTTATTTTCGTCATAACGTTGGCAAAAATGTAGCAAAAAATGCTGAATCACCTCATAGGGAGCCTAGGTCTACTCCTCTTTAGTTTGCTTGTTAATCTATGTAGAGATTTAAGAACAGGAGTGACGTGTTCAGTTCTCTGGGTTCTAGCAGCATTCAAGCTGCAGTTGCTTCACAGCTTTTTTGGGAAGACCAGTCAATAGTCCAGCCTACTGGAGATGAACACGTGAATGAATTTTCTAGAGCTTGTCTGGACATGAGACTCTGAGTCTTACTTTTTGATGAAGCGCTGATAAAGTGCTGATCTAGTTATAGCCTCAATGCGACCAACGAAGCTCAGGTCTGCATCAAATATGACACCAATATTTCTAACCTGAGTCTTTGTCTTTATTCCTCAGGAGCCAAGTTGAGCAATAACCTCCATCCCATTCTTATTTCCAAAGGCAATACCTTCAGTCTAACTGGAGGAAGTTTGACTGCATCCAGTCACTGACTTGCTCCAAACACTGGCAGAGTGGGTCTAGTGGAGCACAGACACTAGGTGATAAAACGAGGTTGATCTGGGTGTCAACTGCATTACTACGATAGGTAATGTTGTTATTGGATATGACCTGACCCAGGGGGAGCATGTGGAGATTAAAGAGTAGTGGTCCAAGGATTGGGCCTTGGGGGACCCCACATGTCATGGTGATCAGCTTTGAGTTGTGAAATTTGATTCAACAATAGAGACAACATAGCCCCTGTCTTCAAGATAAGATTGGAACCAACTATGGACTGTGCCTGAAAGTCCCACCCAGTTTATGAGCCTATCAAGAAGGATGCTGTGCTCCTTCTAAAATAAGGTTTTGAAACTCACTAAACTAATCGTCTCTTCTTTGTTTCTGGTTCAATTACGTCAAATTGGTGAAATGAACATTTGAAGTCTTTTCACTCAAAACCTGAAATAAATGTTGCCATCGTTCGAAAATAAGAGCTTTCTTTGCATCAAAATGTGTCTTTAAATTTCACAGACATCATATGTGAAATCCATTGCTCGAATTGAACATGATCAGAAAATTACTTTTGTCCTTTTATAGACTCCCATTCATTTTTGTTGTCTGTTGGGAACCCATGGTTTGTATGTAAATGGGTGTGACTTAGGGTCCCTATAACTATCATTCACATCAAACCACTTGCTGTAGCAATATGATTAATACTATAATTATATATAAGCTATTGCCTTATACACAATAAAATGAAACAAATAGCTATTCATTAAAATTTGCCAATAAATTGTCACGTTTCAACCTTATTTTGTTATTATTATTGTTGTTATTATAGTTGACCTTGAATACATGCTGTTTAAGTATCTGATGTTTTACAAATAAATTATCTTCTCTTGCATCATATTGAACATCTTTGCAAAAAATACTTTGTTCAAATTATTGAAAGAGTGTTGTTTTAATTGTTAAATAATGCTAATACCATGTCAGCTGCATAAATGTAAAGAGAGATTAATGATAAGTTGGCATTTTCACAGAACAGTTACAACAGCTTGTCACTGGTTGCTCATGCTTTAGTTATTCTTGATAAATCTACCTCAGTGTGAATCTGGCAGAGGAAATGTAAGTTTGTAGCTTGTCTATTGTTGGTCTTTAACCCTCCCACTGTCCTAATGGGTGTGACCCCGCGAGGAAAGTTGACCATTGAGCAGGGTTGATGGTTTATCCCTTGGGTCCACGTGGCAGGGGTGAGGAGTGAGCACCACCTCACCCCTGCCACACGGACCTCAAGGGATAAACCATCAACCCTGCTCAATGGTCAACTTTTCTCGCGGGGTCACCCATGAAGACAGTGGGAGGGTTAAATGTCTTTTCTTCAACAACTGGTTCTTTTTGGACACGCTGCAGTGTTTGGCTGGCAAGTAACCAGAAAACATCATGACCATTACAATCAGCAGTAACTCTGGTTAGCACAATAATTACTGCAGTCTTGTCCAATTGTCTTATCTTGTCTGGTTCGATGATGTGCAAGTATAAAATGAGCATTCTTGATTGAACCCCCTTTATTCAGAAAACTTCCTGGGAATATGATTAGCGAAATCAGTAGTTTGATTACCAAAATTTCCACCAAGAAAAGGTTGAATTACTCACTGGTCAATTGTCAGTCCAATAAAATGCTTATTTTGGTTCCACTGAGGAACAAACTTTATTATCACTTTATTTTTGACAATGTTTTCAATGCTGCTTTACCAGATCTGTACTCAATGCCTGCTTTTTAAGATTAATGTACAGCAACCATTGTGTATCACTGAACAGATTTGTCCGTCAGCATGTGCAGAATTTATTTGAAAGCCATCATGTTTTTCATAGCTATGCATGTGTGTGTGAGTATGAGTCTATGCATGCATATGTGCTTGTGTGATTATCAGAGCCTGATATCAGTCTGGTGGCCAGCTGTAGTGTCAGATGCTTTATTAGCATGGCAGCAAGTGGGGGGCTCCCATCTCACTCTGCAACTGAGCCATGGGAGGCTGCCTGGCGGGGGATAAAGATGAGCTAACAGAATGATTCACTTCCCTCAAATTGTGCCAGCAAGCTGTTGACTTGATATAAAAAAATCTTTGGGAAGAACGTGTGTGCAACTGATGCGTTTTATGAAAAAAGGGAGAAACTCATTATAATATCGAACAATTTGTTTTTTGATCTAAAGCACCAGAAAAATAGGACAAATCTGAGTGTTGCAGAAAAACATTTGACAAACCTTACAGAACATGTTCATTCTGCAGCTCCATTTTTAAAATATGTAAGTAACAGCAGCAATTTAGTAATCTAGATGAGTGTTTTGAACATTTCTAAGAGAGTATGCTGCTCACACCACTTTTAGCATACTGATTGTTCCTTCATGAGGAGACTGGAGTGGTGTTGTGTTCGCAATTTTTCAGATTTTTTTGTTCCATTTTTAGCCTCTTTATCTTGCAGGTGCTAAGGCTCAACACAAGGTCAAGACAAACAGCGATGCTCTGACTTTACCTTGAGATTTTCTCTTTGATAGGGAAGATGTGTATCTTTTTGAACTTTCACCTCCTGTCAGTGACAAACCCAGAAAGGGATTGCTTTATTACTGGATCTTACATGTTTGGGGTTTGTGGTAGACCTTAGATTGTTTTATCTGATTTTTACATATTTATAATCAACTTGACATCAAGAAAAATACCAGAGAATCTACTTCCTACTTATGAAATAACAGTTGGCTTCAGCAGCTACTTAGTTAGTTAGTTAGTTAGTTAGTTAATTATACACTGATGTGTTAAAAACAAGAAGTCGTTTGTTCAAACATCCCCTTGTTAACCAGTGCACGTTACAAACGTATTAGGTGATTCAAAATGACCATGCGTTGTAATGTGCAAAAACAAATTCATAATGTGAACATTTTATAATAATTTCTATAAAACTCACGTGTAACGCAGTTTTTGGTGTTGAAACCAAAATCGGGTTACGGAAACGTAGCGTCTCTGGTTGCCATGACAAATCTCGCGAGAACAAATAACCGCGTGTAAAAAAATTTAATAAAGTTCTTGCTTTGTCTGCGGAGGCGTGTGTCTGTTGTCTAATAACATTAAACTACAATCGATCCGCTGATTGACTTCAGGAGTCGAAGCAGTGAATATCTCGCCAGCTTTACTGTGAACAGGAACTTATCAGCTCTGGGACGAGAATTGTGACTTCCGCATTCGATACTTGTGAGTTTTTGGATTTCCGCGAATTTTTGGGTGTTCTGAACATTTTCCATTAGGATATGTTACTTTGCATTGTATGCTTTACATATGTCTGCGATAAGTCAGAACCTCGTTTTGAAAAAAGTATACTAGAAAGTGTGTTGTTACGGCAGGAAGACAACAACCGGACACCGGATACACCGAAGAGGAGCAGAAGAAAAAAGAGGAAATGTCGCTTCTTTCTGCAATTGAAGAAGCAATCAAAACCTGCAAAGTCGAACAGGCTAAGCTTAATGGCTGCATCGAACACTGCAGAGAAATTCTACTATGTTTGTAAGTTTCTATTAAACACGTATGTCAGTGAGAACGGGGTTTCAGTTCAGGGAACTAAACCCCGAACTAGCAAACTTGAAACGAGGCCAGATGGGCATCTGAGTGATGAGTGTGTGTGTGCGAGTGTGTGGCGCTGTGGCTTAGTTGGTTAAAGCGCCTGTCTAGTAAACAGGAGATCCTGGGTTCGAATCCCAGCAGTGCCTTTTCCTGTACGCCCTTTGCTTCACCCCGAGTAAACCCGACACAACTATGCTAGGTCAACTACTGTTTTAGTGTTGTTGTTTCACACCTAAACTGTTTTATATGGACTAATGGAGCCAAAACATATTTGGTAATTAGTGAAACATTTTCATAAGGTTTACATGATTATTCTTAATTTAATAGCTACTAATCAGTTTTCTACTGGTTAAAATAGATCTTTTAATCAAGATTATTAAAAATAAATGAAAGAGTGAATGTCTGGGATTTTCCTATGCATATGAAAAAAGTTTGTTAATTATGTAATTGTTAAACTGGTTTCCTAACACCATCAAAGTTGTTATTTCCACACACAGTCTATATTCAATTCAATTCAATTCAAAAATACTTTATTAATCCCAGAGGGAAATTGATTGCTGTAGTAGCTCAGAATAATAACAATAATCAAGTCATCAAAGAGTTGTTGTATATTACAATGGCTGTTGGCAGGAAGGATCTCCAGTAGCGGTCAGTGTTGCAGCGAAACTGAAGAAGCCTCTGACTGAAGACACTCTTCCGTTGTCGGACAGTCTTGTGAAGAGAATGCTCAGGGTTGTCCATCATTTTCTTGATTCTCTGGGGAATCCTTCTTTGCATTATCTCCTCCAGTGGTTCAGAAACTGCTGAAACTCTGGCTGAGTCCTGGAAAGGTCTTGGAGTTCCTCCATCTTGTTGGCCAGTGATCTCACATTGCCCATTATGATCGATGGAAGAGATGGTTTGAATTTCCTCTTTCTCTGTCTCCGTTTTGCTCCCGCTCTGCACCCACGCTTCTTACGTTTTAGCTCATTTGGGATTTGTGGCTTCAGTTGAGGTGTTATTTCAGCCTTTCCAATGTTAATCAGCTGCTCCCGATTGTAAACCAGCTCATTGCCATGGTTACGCATCATAACAAATGCTCAAAAAGTGAAAAAAGCTAAAAAAAAATAGCAGTCAAAATCCTCCAAGCTTCACAGCACCAGAAACAGAAAAGTACAGTGTCCAAAAAAAGTTTTTCTTGAGAAACTAGAAGAAAAAATGTCCAAGAAGAGGCAAAACTTACATATAGTCAACAGAGCTACTCCAACATGCAGCCACCCAGAGCAGCGCAGTTCCGTGGATATCTATTAGAAACAGTAAGAATGTGTCTTATGTAATGATCTGAAGTTGTATATTTATACACTGTTATTAGATCTAAGTATTATCATCAGAAGTGGTCGTTTTTATCATCAGGGAGTTTACTTAAACACTCTGTATTGACTGAGAGACAAGAAAAGAGAGAGTTAGGATCGTTTAAGAATCTTTAATTTCTATAATTATAAATTCTTACAATCTACCAGGACTATCTCAATGATGAATGCATATGGATTTGGATGTTTTGTGTTGGTGTGTGTGTGTGTGTGTGTGTGTGTGTGTGTGTGTGTGTGTGTGTGTGTGTGTGTGTGTGTGTGTGTGTGTGTTGTTCAGAATCTCTAGGCTGACGTAGCGAATCTGATTGTTATGACTAGACTACCACGAGGCTTCAGAAGCTGATGACATGAGCCGCCATTTTGTGCCGTGACCACGTACCTATGGAGTCTCCTGTGTAGATCAGGAAATGCCAGGTCCTAGACTTCGGACATACTGGAGCTGGTGAAACAGCGGTCGCAGCACTACAAAGCCCGTCTGTGGGTCGGCTCCGGTAGCAGTCGGCAGGCGTCAGCAAGTTCACTCTTATTTTGAAGGAACATCGTCTTGTTGGTTCAAACGATGGAAATCTCCAGCTTGACAGTTCTCAGCTTAAAATAGAAAGTACAGCTGGCCAGCCTGTACTTCTCTTTTGGCGGTGATGGATTGAGAGCTGGTTGAAAACAATGTTGAGAGTATGATGTAACTCCTTTGGAGCTCGGATCGAACAGAGCTGATGTCAACGTGGAACTGACTATAAAATGGCGTTGCCTTGTTTTATATCCCCTAGTTGTTTATAAATCTTAGTAAACCGGATTGGACGACTTTCATTAAACAACCCAGATTCTGCCCTACGACAGACGAAAGTTCTGATTGGTTGAGAATAATGTGTCATGCGTTTCCATGGTAATGTAGATCAGTCTGTCTGGTGCAGCCCTGTTTATTCATTAAACACATAACTCATGGCATCTTTATTTCACAGATCATTCACCTGATTATTATTGATCAACATATGCTTTGATTAGCTTTATCACAAATAAAGTACTTTAATTAAAGGAAAGCGTTCTTCTTCTCTTCTTCTGTCTCTTCTCCTGGAATGTAAACATACTGAACCAAGCGTCCGACCTTGGCGATGTTACTGTGTGAAGGGGCAGCTGCTAAGGGCAGACAATTATAATCTTCATAACGCTACACTTATCACACATTGCCCCGCCCAAAAAAATATAGCCACCAAATAAAAAGGTCACACACACTAATATTTTGTTGGACTAACTTTAGCTTTGATTCAATTCAATTCAATTCAATTCAATTCAAAAATACTTTATTAATCCCAGAGGGAAATTGATTGCTGTAGCAGCTCAGAATAATAATAATAATCAAGTCATCAAAGAGTTGTTGTATATTACAATGGCTGTTGGCAGGAAGGATCTCCAGTAGCGGTCAGTGTTGCAGCCAAACTGAAGAAGCCTCTGACTGAAGACACTCTTCCGTTGTCGGACAGTCTTGTGAAGAGAATGCTCAGGGTTGTCCATCATTTTCTTGATTCTCTGGAGAATCCTTCTTTGCATTATCTCCTCCAGCGGTTCCGAAACTGCCGAAACTCTGGCTGAGTCCTTGAAAGGGCTTGGAGTTCCTCCATCATGTTGGCCAGTGATGTCACATTGCCCATTATGATCGATGGAAGAGATGGTTTGAATTTCCTCTTTCTCCGTCTCCGTTTTGCTCCCGCTCTGCACCCACACTTCTTGCGTTTTAGCTCATGTGGGATTTGTGGCTTCAGTTGAGGTATTATTTCAGCCTTTCCAATGTTAATCAGCTGCTCCCGATTGTAAACCAGCTTGTTGCCATGGTTACGCATCATAACAAATGCTCAAAAGGTGAAAAAAGCTAAAAAATAGCAGTAAAAATCCTCCAATCTTCACAGCACCAGAAACAGAAAAGTAAAGTGTCCAAAAAATAGTTTTTCTTGAGAAACTAGAAGAAAAAATGCCCACGAAAAGACAAAACTTACATATAGTCACCAGAGCTACTCCAACATGCAGCCACCCAGAGCAGCGCAGTTCCTCGGAACACATTACGGCACACATTCACTGTGGAAGCAGCACAAAGTCTTCTCCAGAACATCCTGAAGATTCTCAATGGGGTTTAGGTCTAGACTCTGTGGTGGCAGATCCATGTGTGAAAATGATGTCTCACCTTCACATCAGGGAAGATGGAATAACCTGGTCATTCAGTACATTCAGGTAGTCAGCTGACCTCATTCTTGGAGCGCATCCTGTTGCTGAGCCTAGACCCGACCAACTGCAGCAACCCCAGATCATAGCACTGCCCCCACAGGCTTGTACAGTAGGCACTAGGCATGATGGGTGCATCACTTCATCTGCCTCTCTTCTCACCCTGATGCACCATCACTCTGGAACAGGGCCCATCTGGACTCATCAGACCAGTTTTAATAATGCGTTGGACAGTTCTTAACCCAGTTTTAGTTGTTTCTTCAATCTCCTTAGATGTTTTCTCTGCTTGATACCAATGATCTGACCCGTCTCACACAGATTAACATCTTTTCCGCAACCACCAGATGTGTCTTTCCACATGGTTGTTTAAGAAATGAGAAGCATCTCATGGCACCAGTTGGGGTTAAATGACTTGTTTCCAGCTGAAAGATAATCACCCATGCAGTAATTATCCAATAGGAGGCTCCTACCTATTTGCTTAGTTAAATTTAGGTGGCGTGGGTTTGTTTTTTTTTTTTTTTGGCGGGGTGGTGTACGTTTGCTTTTGCTCTTCTCCTCCCTGATTCTATGGTTACGTGTCTTTTTACTCTCTAAGGTCGTCACGACACCCTGCAGAACCCGAAGAGACAGAATTAGCAGAAGAAAATCCTGCAGGTAACTTGAAGAGAAGTGTGTTATTGTATGCAAGTGCTGACTGAAAACGCAAAAAAATGCTTAATTGTTAATGATTTGAGATTTTTTTTTCTTCAAATGTTGAGTTTTTCTCAGAATCTTTGATTAAAATGTTTTGAGAAACCTCAGCCTGGTTTCTCTGCTAAAAGAGCTCATGTGTTTGAGGAGACTCATAAAATGTTAATTAGTGAAACCACCAAACCATAATGGCGTGTGTTCCTGCTCCCGTCTTCTGTTACAGATGCTTCCGCAGGGGAGAAGGAAGACATAGAGCTGCTCGAGCAAGCACTGGAAAAAGCCCTTCGGGTCCGTACCGGCTCAGATCCCTCTAAAAGAGACTCCTGCAGAAACCGAATATCTGGAGCTCAGAGTGAAACTGTCACAGCCACAGATGTGTTGATTTCATCTGCAGTGGCCAAAGAAGGTCAAACAACCAGAAGGTCAACCTCCAAATCTGCCAGGCCTGATGGGAAAGGAGACAAAAAGTCTGGTTTTTCATCAGGCGCCACACTTAGATCAGGGCCGCAGTCCAAAATCGTCCGTAATCGAAACACGATCCAGAACCGTTTCCCTTCATCGGCTCGGGCTGCGCATCACCAGGCATCGAGGGCATTTCAGCAGACTGTCTCGGCATCTGCCTCTCCTGATCAGATCACAGCCTCGCTCTCTAAAAACAAGACAGTCAGAGTCAATGTGGCAGGAGACGGTGACCTGAGCAGAGCTGCGTCTGTTTCTTACAGCGTCGCGTCTCCATCAGACACCGACGGGTCGGGGACAAGCCGTTTGCAGCAACACGATGTGTACGTTCACACGATCAGGCTATGAGGAGAATCACCGTTTATCTGCATTTATGAGAATCACTAAAGTTTGTTTTTTTGTGGCAGATTACAGTCTGAACAAACTAAATGGAAATCTTTAAGAAGTAAACAAAACAGGTCAATTAAACCAGTTTTTTGACATTAGAATAATTTCTGATGTCAAAGTTTACACTCATGCATTTGTTTGTATTCCGTCTGCAGGCTGTGGGGAAAAGTCCAGTCCCTCCAAAGGACACCAGCACTTGGGAGGAGTCGCTTCATGGAGAGAATCAGAGCAACGGTACTTTTCTGTTTTTTTAGTCGTTGCAGTCATATGGGACTGTACTAAATCATCACAGTGTTTAACTTGTAGCTGGGAATTACACGTTACTCCATCTATAGAACACATTCCTCTGTGCTGATTACCTGAGCTGTCTCTACGCCGTCTGGTGCACATCTCCATTCCTCTGAACTCCTTAGTTTCCCACTGACTGGCCATGTGGTAGTCCAGCTCAGACCAGGGCCCTGCTGGAGAGACTGACAGACCAAGCTCAGCGCTGCCGGGCCGAGGACATTCTCACCAAGCATGCTTCAGACGTGGAGCAAGAGCTGGGTAAAGAAGACTGAACAGATTTACAATGTCAGTGGAATCAGAGAAAATGTGGCGTTGGTAAAGACACATACATCTGTGTTTATTCTTAAAGGGGCATTATGGAAGTTTGACAGCCAAAACGTGTATAGAAATAATAAATGTCTTCTTCATACATTCTCCTGCAATGCCCTGGTCCTGTAGAATGAGCCCTGGCATTTTTACTGTGATTGCCTGTTTTTCTGTAAAATCACAGAAAAAGAGAGTTGCTCGGGTCGAGCAGGCTGCTTCATGCGCATTCACGCTCAGGCATAGCTCGTAGCATTTGCTATCAGTAGCTTTAGCAGCAGAGAGAGAGGTAGTGCCAACTCAGCAACTTTGTCGCTGTTCCTCACGCCTAGTGATGAACCTAGCTACATTTCTGAGGACCCTTAGCTACTTTCTTCTAGATATTTCCTGCAAATTAGCAACAAAATAGCCATTTTTGCTCTGAACCGTTCTTTGAACGTTGTTTCAGCTGTCATCAACGATATAAATATTACAGATACAAAATACATCACTGGTGCTATAGCTCACCTAGAAAGACGGCGGACTCTCGTGCAGAAGAACTGGGTTCGATTCTGGGTGAGAACACAGTTTTTTTAGAGTTTATTTTTTTACATTAATGGTATATTTTTTTTACAGTAAGATGCCCACATTTTTATTTGAGACTCGCCGAATGGCATTGAATTCACAGATAAAAAAAGATGTGGGTTCAACTTTCATTTTGGAACAATTTTTCAATCAAGGGAAGGGAATGATCTAAGCATGCAGGAGGACTGACCCATCTTAAACCTTTGTCGGCTGTGCTGAAGAGAAAGGTACAGAACCAAATTATTTAATTAATTAGTTGCGCGTTCTTCTGTCCTCTGTCCTCCGGGACACACACACACACACATGCGGGACTGTCTCAGCTGTTATTTTCGTTAAGGAGTGTGCACGTACAGCATGCGCGCCTCGTGCACGAGCCTACTATTTAAGCTGCCGTTACACTTTTGGCCTGAGGGGGCAATCGCGAGCATAAAAATTCTAAACTCTGTAAAGTCCCTTTAAAGACCTGAGGATCGAGGAAATGTCTCATATTTGTTTAAATCTAACAGCAGTTATTGATTTGAATGACTCCCAACAGTGTTAGTTGTAAAAAGTATCACAGTACAGCAAGATTCGGCCTGATTTAACAAGAATTTACTCATTTGAACTCAGTTTTAATCACTGCTCTCTGCAGGGGGCCAGCAGAATGATTGTGATCCCAGTTTGACGCGTGAAAATCTGCAGCAGATGGCAGCAGAGCTCCGCGTCTTCACAACTCAAGTGAGCAAAGGTAAAGGATCTTATTAAAGCTTCAAAAACAGGATCCATGTTGGCGGAGTCGGGTGTTTTCTTCTGCGCTGGTTGAATTCACATGTAAAGGTGTCACTGCGTCAGGATCTAAAGTGTCGCAGCTCCTACAGTTGGAAGCCCGAGGGTTTTCCACTCGAATGACCCGATGACCTCCTGGGAGGGAGGTTTGTTGATGTCTAGATGCAGCACAAGTCTTCTGCCAGAGTCGTTTTGATCACGTTCAGTCACCTCACACATGTGGCTCAGTCGGCATTTTGTTACGCGGCTATTTAAGAAACTTTTGTTTTAGGTGAGCTTTTCATTAATTGGATTCCTACAACATTTGATGACCGAGGGTGATGAGCATAGTGTGCTAATGAGCTAATGCAGCCATGTCCATTAGTGATGGGAATTCCGGCTCTTTTTAGAGAGCCGGTTCTTTTGGCTCAGCTCACCAAAAAGAGCCGGCTCTTTCGGCTCCCAAGTGGCTCCTCAGATTTTCTGTTGCGTAGAGTACATTTATAACCAAAATAATGCTAAACTATATGTAAGATAATTTACTAATGTAAAAAAAGCAATATATCAAATGTTTATCATTTCTATGGATTTAATAACTGAACACTTTAAGAAATCTCCACTTTCCGACTGCTGGCGCTCATTTTCTCACCGTCTTCATCGCAGTCTCCTCCCTCTCGCTCGCCTTTTTCCTCCTCCTCATTCCCTCTTGTCTCCCTCCTCCCACATGTGCTCTGCTGTGTGTCTGTCTGAGTCTGATCCTCCCTCTTCCCCGCCCCTACTGCTCTGTGTGGACAGTCTGGACACACAGTTACGCATGTTGACCAATCGCCTGTGGCGTTCACCAAGGCAGGGGGGGAGGGGAGGGGGCTCCCAATGACGAGCCGGCTCCCGTTGTTCACTTCAAAGAGCCGGCTCTTAGAGCCGGTTCGTTCGCGACCGACACATCACTAATGTCCATGTGGGTATGTGGAAAATTAAAACAGAGCCACGCTCAAACCTCTGTGCCAGATCAGGACTTTCCTTGGTCACACACACACACACACACACACACACACCACCCCGTGACTGTAGGATCTCTAAGCTGCCTCCTGTCACGGGGAGGAACAAGAGCAGGAAAACGTCTTTGGCCACGGTTGCTAACGCTCTAAAAATAAACCTTATTCTCCTTCAGAGTGGAAAGCATGGGATCGATGGAGGCCAGAGGGAGGTTGTCTTTGTCCCTCTGGAGGAAATGGTGTGTTGGGAGATGGGGGGCCATCCCTGCCCCCTACTATAACATACAGAACAGAGAAGGAGCTCCAAGAGCTGGAGAGGCTGCGGACGAGGGTGGCTTTGCTGCAACAGGAGCTTCACCTTGATCGGGTAAGCTGTCTATTCCTTTCTTTCATTTTCATTTCAGTCATAAAAACTCAGAATGATTGACTCTCTGTGTTTACTGTTTCAGGTTCTGATGGACACTTTATCACCTCACCTTTCATCCGTAGTAGCTGGAACCAGATGTCCCCACCCAGGCATGCTGAGGGACCTGTACTCCCTGCTTGGTGAAGGAGGGGAGCGATTCCCGGCCATAGTTCTAGACTCTGAGGCTGAATGAGCATGCTGCACCGAGAGCTAACATTTTCTTCACTTAGCAGCAGGACTGCAAACATGAGGCTCCTCCCAGTGTTCCACAGTCCTGCGAAAACACGACTGAAACATTTTTAAAACATTTTTAAACTAGCAAATCTTCCTAAGTGGTGAAATTCTTTTTTTTTCTTTCGGTCGTCCTTGATTGACGACTAATCTGTGTTGCATTTGGCCTCTTTCTGAGTGTGATTTAATGATGCACAACTTACAATGTACCACTAGGTGGCACTACCTACCCCCGGCACTGGACTCGGGTCTCCAGTCTCAGTCTGTGTGAATACAAGACACATTTTCTCCGTTGACAAGAAAGTAATCAGCTTTATTTCTTGTGTTGGATTCAGGTGAACAATAAACATCCTGATTTATTCTTTTCACTGACTAGAGCTTTTCAGTTCCATCCAAAGTGGTGCGGGGAGGTATGGCCCAGAACCAATATCACGATATATTGAGGATTTCACCTCGATAACGATAAATGGACGATACCTACAGGTATGCGCTGAGACAAAGTTGTCCATTAGACGGGGCTGTCACATGTATTATGCTGAGTCACATTTTTACGTGACTCGAGGTGGTTCAGCTTCATAAAGGGAAACGAGTGTTTCCAACCTACACACACCTTTTCATTTTTTATGATCAAATTTATTGACAAGGGAAACATTATCCCAATAAGAGTCAGAAATGTCAATAACGATACATTTTTGATTTATTGCCCTGCCCTGGTCCAAAGCAAGGGTCCAAGAAGCTTGTGAGTCATGAGGGGACCTTCAGCCTGCTCCATCGTTTATCCACTTCCATAAGGAGACGTCAGCTGTCCTCTCCATGTGTCTCCAGATGTTTTTGGTTTCCATCTGGAGCGTGTGTAATGCACATACTTACAAGTCGTGTGTGTGTGTGTGTGTGTTGGGGAGGGGGGGGGGGTAAAAAAGTCTGAGCCTACAGATGACGTGTGGATGGCAGGGGCTGTGGCAGACTGGGCAACAGGTGGCGCTGGGTTCACACAGCAGGACGTGGGTGTTTGAGCTCTACTGCACTAACTCATGCTAGCACACAAATATAGGGGTACACACACACACACACACACCAAGAGCCATCTGAGTCACAAAGACGATGTTCTCGGGGACCTGGCTTTCTTCTCTCTGCGAGCTGGAAATGGCGTGTTTCCCTGAAGTGAGGAAGGAAAAATAAGATTATAAAAGGGAGTGGACCATTTCAGTCTCCCACAGCTTGCTGTGTACACAACAAGAAGCACACACTGCTTCTGATTTAAATGAGAAACGTGTGCAGAAAACGTAAACAGCTATGTGTTTCAGCCTCGTCTTCTGCATGGTGCTGCAGCACGGCACAGCGTGCCCATACAGCCCTGGATTGGTGTGTGAGAAGGAAGTTGAGGAGGCAGGGAAACATCAAGATGGTATCAACACTACACCCAGGTCCCAGTGGGAGTGGTGCCTACGCAACTCACTCTTTCTGTGAACTGCATACATCAGCTGCTGCCTGGCTTTAGCTTCCGCCAGCAGAGCTCCAGTACTCCCACCAGCGTGGCCTGGCCCTGCCCAGGTTAACCACGTCTCATGGCTCCGGTGCTTTGTTCTCACGCCCGTGCCATGACGGAGGGTCACTTTTACTTTGTGAGGAAGAATCATAGTGTAAAGCGCCTCTTTGTCATACAAATGTTCACATCTTAGTTCTTTTAGCCCTCCTGTTTTCTCTTCATCCAAATCCAAGAAGAAACCCACAGAAACCAAACCGTGCTCTAAAGAATCCACTCCTCTCCTTCAGCAGCCTGTTGCTTTTCAACACGTCTTTTCTCCTCCAGCCCCAAACACATTCCTCACTTTCCCTCTTCTGTTCGCCCTTGGCTCAAACACTTCTTTAGCCGCTCGTTAAGCCAGCATCATTTTATTGCGCCCACCGATTGGATGGTGTGATCCAGCTTTTTCCCCTTCCAGTGCCTTAACAACAGATTTCCTGTTCAGACATAAGCATGCCTGTAATTTATAGAGGAATACTTGGTATTTCCTCACTTTTGCTGCAAATGCTTTAAAGCTACTAAACAGGAAGAGGGTTTGGATTTAGTAACGTGCAGCAGATGTGTTGTCAAGCTGCAGCCACACTGATTTTATATAAGAGATCTAAAGAAATGTCAACATTATAGTAATATGTGTTTTTCCTGAGGTGTTGACCTTTATATTCTGTTTACGTGGGAAAAGTCCCGTCACACATTAAAGCTTTATTTGGTTGATGTTGTTTTCATGGAAGAAGGAACATCAGGAGATTAACCACTACCAGGTTGTCTTTCATTCAGAAAGAACTCAGTGAAAGAGCTGGCATCCAGTGTGTGTGTGTGTGGGTGGGAGATGAGAAGGGGCTGCCACTGTTTTCCATCACGAGTGGGCACGAGTATCCGCCTGTTTACTCTCTGACTGCAGCAGCTCTATTTGCGTTTTGCTGCAAATCATTTTTTAGGTGTTTACACACTGGCAGATTAAATGTGTGTGGGTGGTTCTGGATATTTTTCCTTACTTGATCAATAATTATCACGTGGAGCCAATGTTCAGTAGCAAATGAGAAAAGCAGGGATTTCCCACCTGAGTGGGATTCTGGTTTCCCTATGGGATGAGTTTATTTTCAAAACAAACAAAAAAATGGAGTTCGGATGCAATGATGGGGAGTAGAGAGGGAAAAGGGGAGCAGTAAAGTCCTCTCCCCTCCCCCTTTCTATGCTTCCTCCCCCTCCTTTGTTGTTTGATGTCATCCAAAAGCAGCCAATCACAGTGCTTGGACTTCCCAGTTTTTCATCCCTTTCCCCTCCCCTTCTCCTGGTGCGTTATATATATATTTCCTGGCACCACAATGTGCCGAGTGTACAGTGAGCTGTCGAGGAGCCACCAGCCTGTGTAGAGAGAGACTCCGTCAGAGCAGGAAGACACGAAGTATTCCGTGTGAGTAGATTTCAGCGCTGACTGAGACATCCTCATCCGATCCTTCTCTCTGCCTCTCACAGACCTTTCTCTCTCTTTTGCCTTTCTTTATCTGCTGTTTCTTTCACAGGCCAGAGCTGATCACATCAAGGACTCCCAAAAGCACCACAGCTGATCCGGCCGGGATTCACCAGCCCACACAGTTAGGATGGGGTGTACAACGGGCCATTTTACTTGTCAGCCGCAACCCCAGGCAAACTCTGGGCAGGAGAATCAGTCCCTTGAGGCTGATGGAGCCAAAGTTCCTGAAGTGCTCTCCTCTCTGGAGCGTTTGTCCCAAGCTACTGGGGGCATGGAGAAGTCCTGGTACCGCTGCATCTTTCCCTTTGGGATCATCTCTTTAGTAATCGGGGTTGCAGGAACGGGGGTGACCTACACTTACGATGACCTGCCACAGATTAAAGTTGTGGCGGTGGTGTTACTCATCACGGGCCTCGTACTGTTGATGACGGCAACTGCTTGTTGGTCTCTCCACAAGAAGAAGAGGAGGAAAAAGAAGGAGAGAGAGTCGCTGACATCGGAGCAGTGTCCCCTGTGAAGCCCGTGGAGGAAAAAAGTTATGAGAATATAAAGCAGAGACAACGCTCAGTGTTCAAGTGGGCTAAAGGTCTGGCTAAAGAGACTCCTCCTTCCAGAGCCAAATCCCGTTTTTATTTATCACCGTTTGGCTGAGTGGAACTTGAGAGGCCAGAATGTTGAAGATCTGTTGAGTTTTGAATGAGCGAAGATGGATCACAGCGTCTCACATGATCTTTAATCATCATCAGCAGGTGTCCCATGTCAAAACAACCACGGAGGACACACACACTCAAATATACACTGCAGGCATAATAACATGCACCGAGAGGTTCTCGGCGTTGTATGTGCGGACACCTAACACGCTATGCAGGACTGCCGGAGTCCGTGCTGCCGTCATTGGGCACGTCAGTCACAGAATTCCTCTTCCCAGGACAGGTGACTCTCCGAGCGGCCAGCAGTGGGCCAAAGTCTGATACCTGACACCCAGACGAAAGAGCAGTGCACCCGCGTCAGCGACCAACGTCATTCACTCGTCCTGTGACACTGCAGCAATGTGTTGGGGGCTTTTTTTACACAGTGGAAGACTGGAACTTGAGTCCACCCGGATCTTACTGGCATCTGCATGGGTGATGAACCCGAGAGGGCAGGAGACCTGCTGGGAAGAGCAAGTGAAATTTCTGGACTTAAATACAGAGGAACTAAAGATTTGCACACATGTCCAAGAAGTTGAAGTCCAGTGAGCAAAGAGAAGTCTCGTAGCTTCAGCTGTACGTCAGACGCAGAGGGCACAGACTGATTGATTGCCTTCCTGTCAGTGTGTGAGCATTTACACTCAGACCTGTCTATGGAGATGGTGGTGGGGGGGGGGGGGGGTTGAAGGACACTGCATGATGGAACATGCCGCTGCAGGGGCACTCTGAGGGATCCTACTCCTTTGTGGCCCCTCCCGTTTGGTGCCTTGAGCAAGCACCCATGGAAAAACGCTCCATCACATTCCCCTCTTTCCATCTCAACTTCTGAGAATTCACCACCCGGCTGTTTCTCCTTTGACCCGATGGGGCTTTCTGCACCTATCACATCCTGTTCATCCTTAGCGTATGAACCAATCGCAATCATTTGCTTATTTTGGTATAGCTCAGGAGGGGTGTTTAAAGCCTTTTGATGCACATTTCAGGCACACGTTCAAATCTCATCAAGCCCATTTGAATAGTCTTTGCCCTTTTTTACCAAAGAAATGTAATCATGTGCTCTCCCACCGAGGAAGGATTAGTAAAAGTGAAATCCCCGTGTCATCCTGGGGTCAGTGCTGTTTTCTGGTTAGCACTGACTCTTTGGGACTGGGGTTTCCTTTTCCCACATGTTTTCTTTTAAAGAGTGAATGTAGCTGCACTTACTGATGTGAACAGAGGTGTTCTGTCAGAGTGCAATATACAGTAGGGGACGGCATTTTGTTTGTGTCTTAAACTCTTTTTATGACTGAATGTAATAAGTAGAAAAGCAAAAGATGAATTGCAGAAGGAACAAATTCAATGTACAGACAGTGAACTGGAGTTTTGCTGCTCGTCTCCATGTGAATGACTCGACCAACACTGCTGGATCCTTAAGAGCTCCTATTGATCCAAGTTAGAATGAAGTGATGCTTGCCGAGGAAATTGCGTCTATACATGCAAGGGTAGAAGTCAGAACCAAAGACCATCTCAGAGGTACAGCTAGCAAACCTGATCCTGCCTGTTTGCAGCATCAGTCTGGATCAGTCATTTCTCAGTTATTCAGTCACTGCACATGTGGAGCTTTGCACAACAGTTGTCAGCTTGACCAACTTCTACAAGAGCAGTAGAGCGAAAACAAGCTAGTCATAACGGTTGCTTCATCTCAGAGGTCATTCTTGTGAGATTCACATGGAAGCAGGGACTGACCCCTGCAGTTATCAGGATCCGTCCAGCTTAGAACAACTTGAGTATTTAACAGGAAAAACGTTACAGTGCTGGAGGGAACCGTTAAAATTACAGCTGCACTGGAGCAGAGTTGGTCTTTTAGAAGACTTATTCCCAAAGAAGTGAGAGCTAACATAGAGAACACATGCTCACGTTAAGCTGTGTTACACACACGCACACACACACACACACACACACACATATATATACATATATGGAGAGAGAGGGAGGGAGAGAGAACAGTGGTTTCCTCTGAACACCAAGACAAGAGAAAAGCACTCAAATTAAATTTCAACTGAACAGGCTGTCTGCCATCACAGCTGTCTTTGGTGAAGGTTCGGAATGGCAAACAGAGTTTTTCAACTCCGGCTTACATTATAGAAATAACTGAGGCATTAATGTTTCCATGTATAATACATTTTTAAGGCATGAACATTTCTAGCAAAGAAACAAATGAAGTGAGGTACATGGTTATTTTCACCTTGGCTTGTGCACCAGTGCAGTTTTCACTGTGTTTTATGGCTATGCTTACTGACGATCCAGATTTATTGTGCCAGTATGAATCGACAGTGACAGAATATTTGTTAGAGATGTGAATTTATTTCCCTTCTGAAGTTCCAAAGGGAAAGCCTACCTCTCCCTGCTGCAGGGATTAATGTCCCTCCATTGTAAGACACACACGCTGTCTGCCTTTGTTATTTGGTGCTGTATATAAACACTTTTTATTTTTATTGTATATTTCTATGTGTAAATGTACATTTTAACACTTTGCATATGTAAGGCATTAAATAAATGTTGGTTTGTGTTTTGAGGAAACTCCATTGAGTATTTGTGAAATACTTGGCCTGTAAGCAGCTTTTGGCTCATAGATGTGAAAGAATCTCTAGAAGGGAAACAGAAGACATGTTGGCTTTGACTGGGCCAGTTGGAGCTCTTTTTGTGTGTTTCTAATAGCTGACAATCTCCTGTTGCCTTGATAATCTTGTATTAAATGCAGACTCACTGCATTTATTTGGTTTAGAAACAGACCTGCCACTGTCACGCAGAATAAACACCTCCCCCTGCTGGTTAGCTGCTTAGCATTTCTTTTGGAGCTTTTCAGTTTGCTGATAGCAGGTGGGAAATTGATGTGGGTGTGGAGTTAAACATGTTTCAGTCTGGCTACGGAGCAAAGAGGCCAACTCGGGCAAAGTGCAGATGGGGTGGAAGTTGTCATTCAGACGGCAAGGGTCAGTGCAGATCACAGGAAACCAGATGGGAGCAACTCATCCGCCTCTGTATTTGCAGGACTTGGCTCTGAACCCAAGCATTCACAGCACTATTTGACTTTCATCAAACTTGGAATTAAACAAAACTGACATCCCTTTAGAGAGGCAGAGATGCAACAGGCAGTGCAACGTGACACTATGAAATCTGGGTTTAAGCCATCCGAGGCTTGATGATGGGTTTATTTATATTTTATTCAAAGTCCCAATCAACAGCATCTGTGCAAACGACATATCTGTTTCTAATTAATCAGTGTCTGTGTTAGGCTCCAACTGATACCTTGGTAGAGAGATGGAGTTACATTTTAATTCTGCCTTGAATATTATGACAGCTGTTTTAGTGACGGGTGTAGACAGAGATTAGACTTCCTGGGCCAGACGGTTAAATTAAAACTTGAGCAAAACTGTAATAAAACACTCAGTGCCATCATTATAACACAAACAGATGTGATGATGAAGTATGAGATTCAATGAGAAAATGGATGACTAACGCTTGTTTTTAGACCATGGGCTGCATGGTGGCGCAGTTGTTAGCACTGTTGCCTCGCAGCACGAAGGTCGCAGGCTCGAAACTCGGCTGTGGCCTTTCTGCGTGGAGTTGCGTGTTCTCCCCATGCATGCGTGGGTTTCCTCCGGGTACTCTGGTTTCCCCCACAGATCACAACATGCCCTACAGGTTATAAATTGTAAGTCGCTTTGGATAAAAGCGCCTGCTAAATAAATAAACATAAACATAGATCGTCTTTGATTGGTTCTGGGTGAGAAAAACAAGGGAAATGTTTACATTTGCAAGAAGATTTTTTTTTCTGTAGTGATTAATTTTCTCGATGATCGACTTTCTCATGTTTCATCTGATCTACGGCCGTATGTCGACATTCGGGTGAAGAGAGAGACGGAGTTGTCAACTGACCACTACCTGGTGGTGGGTTGGCTCTGATGGCGGGGGAGGATGCCGGTCAGACCTGGCAGACCCAAACGAATTGTGAGGGTCTGCTGGTAACATCTAGCAGAGTCTCCTGTCAGCAAGAGCTTCAACCCTCCTCCGACAGAACTTCCAAAACGTTCCAGGGGAGGAGGGGAACATCGAGTCCGAATGGGCCATGTTCCATGCCTCCATTGTTGAGGCGGCCGACCGGAGCTGTGGCCGCAGGATCGTCGGTGCCTTTCGTGGTGGCAACCCCCAAACCCGCTGGTGGACACCGGAGTTTAGGGATGCTGCCAAGCTGAAGAAAGAGTCCTTTTGGTCTTTTGGGCCTGTGGGACTCCAGAGGCTGCTGATAGCTACCGGCAGTCCAAGTGGAATGCGACTCAGGTAGCAAAAACCCGGGCGTAGGAGGAGTTCGGTGACATCATGGAGAAAGACTTCCACATGGCTTCAAGGAGATTCTGGTCCACCATCCGGCGCCTCAGGGGAGGAAAGCAGTGCGCTACCAACACTGTTTCTAATGGGGACGATGTGCTGCTGACCTCTACTCAGGACGTTGTGGATCAGTGGGCAAAATACTTCAAAGACCTCCTCAATTCCACCGGCACCTATTGCAGTAAGGAAGCAGAGTCTGGAGACTTTGGGTGCTGAGGTCACTGAGGTTGTCAAAAAGCTCTTCGGTGACGAGGCTCCGGAGGTGGATGAGAACCGCCCAGAGTTCCTTAAGGCTCTGGATGTCGTAGGACTGTGTTGGTTGATGCAGTTCTGCAATATTGCGTGAAAATCGGGGTCAGTTCCATTGGACTGGCAGACTGGGGTGGTGGTCCCCCTATTTAAGAAGGGGGACCGCAGGGTGTGCTCTAACTACTGGGGGATCACACTCCTGAGCCTCCCTGGTAAGGTCTATTCAGGGGTCTGGAGACTAGGGTGGATTTCTAAGCTCAGCCAAGGTGTTTAGGGGATCCGTTTTGGTGGCCTAAGGATTGAGACTCTGCTTTTTGCAGATGATGTGGTCCTGTTGGATTCATCAGAACGTGATCTCTGGCTTTAGCTGGAGTGATTTGCAGCTGAGTGTGAAGCAGCTTAAATGAGAATCAGCTCCTCTAAATGCGAGACCATGGTCTTGAGTTGGAAAAGGGTAGAATGCCTTCTCTGGGTCAGGGATGAGGTCCTGCCTCAAGTGGAGGAGTTTAAGTATCTCAGGGTCTTGTTCACAAGAAAGAGAAAATTGGAGCGCAACATCAACAGGCAGATTGGTGCTGCATCTGCAGTGATGCGGGTGTTGTACCGATCTGTCGTGGTGAAGAGAGAGCTGAGCCAGAAGGCGAAGCTCTTGATTTACCGGTTGATCTACATTCCTACCCTCACCTATGGTGGGGATGTTTAGAGAGAACGGCGGTGCCTGTGTACGGCAGACTCGCCTCTGTCAGTGTGCCCCAGGGCAGTTGTGGCTACAATGTAGCTCATCCCCACTGGGCTGTGAATGTTTGTGTGAATGGATGAATGACTGATTGTGTTGTAAGGTGCCTTGGGGGGTTCCAAGACTCTAGAAAAAGCTATATCAAATACAGACCATTTACCTATTGTCAGGAGCTTTGGGTAGTGACTGAAAGAATGAGGTTGCAGATGCAAGCGGCCAAAATGAGATTTCTCTGCAGAGTGGCTGGGCTCTCCCTTAGAGATAGGGTGAGAAGCTCGGTCATCCAGGAGGGGCTCGGAGTAGACCAGCTTGTCCTCCACATCGAGAGGAGCCAGTTGAGGTGGCTCGGGCATCTGATTAGGATGCCTTCCTTTTCTGGGCACGTCCAGCCGGGAAGAGAGACCCAGGACACCCTGGAGGGACTGTCTCTCGCCTGGCTAGGGAACGCCTTGGGATTTTCTCGGAAGAGCTGGCCCAAGTGGCTGGGGAGAGGGAAGTCTGGGCCTCTCGTTTTAGGCTGTTGCCCTTGTGACCTGACTCTGCATAAGCAGAAGAAAATGGATACGTGGATAGATCGATGGATGGATGGATGGATGGATGGATGGATTAATTTTCTTAATTAATTCAGCTCTTAACATTCAAACCTTTTTTGTTCTCAGATCAATTTTACTTCTGTTATGGCACATTTTTGGATGAAATTATACTAATGTATACTCCTTGAGAAAAAGATTTCACTACAGTGTGTGTTGTAATTTCTTTATTATTTGAGACTCCTTTAAGTGGCGTGTCCCTTGCTATTCACTTTGTGCTTTTACTGGGAAAATAGTTGAGCTGGGTTGGAGTTTCTATGGAAACGGTGCATCTAGTTGAGGATGTCAAAGCCCTTGCCCTGACTGAGGTCACTCTGTCAGCTACAAGATAATGTGATTGCTCTGGACCTTCGTTGTTCAGCAGAGCAAGACTTTGCAATCCCCAATGAGAAAATAAAAAGGCATTTAATTTATTTGCTTTATTCACTGTCATGTGAGTAAGTTCAATTTGATAAACAAAGGTGGCTGATTGTTTATTGTGTGCTTTGGGACGTTACTGGGAAAAACATTTTAAAGTTGTAAAAAAAAATTATTTTTTAAAATTAATGTGAAGCTCCTGATCTTTTTCGTGATGATGAGACTAAATGAACATGTTACAGATCAATAGAGAGCCTGAAAGGAACAAACGAATACTCCCAGATGTAGTCTGCTTCTTTATGACCCCTTTCAAAAGACCAACAATCAAGAGGATGCTATTTGGCTGAGAGAGCTCTCTATTTATTGTCAATAGGGATGCAACAAAAAGGTCTTAATTATGTGATTTCCTCAGAGGAAGCTTCCTCAAACCCAAACCAACCTGTTACTTTATTGCTTCCCATCTATCTTATGTTGGTCTTAGTGTGTGACCCATGAACAAGGCATTATCATAATTTCTGGATTCTGCTGTGCATTGGTGACATCTCTCTGATAATATTCTCACCGAGATACTTTATTACAGTTATTATAAAAAATAAATCATTCTGAGTGACACAGAGTAAACCTTTGATCTTTTAGAGAGAAAAAAAATCATTTGCTTTAGAATGTTTAAAAGAAACAAAGTAAATGTGTCACCGGGTCAAGTAACTGCACTTTTCTCCAACCCTGACTCCCCCTTGGACGGATCATTGGGGGCATGTCCCTTTAAATTATGTACCTTTAAACGCCACTTTTCCATTTAACTACATTTCCCACACGCCTTTTCAACAAGGCGGACACACGCAATCGAGTCAACCAATCGTAAGAGCACACAGACGAGCGCGTACTTCGAAATGGCATTACATCCTCCAATGAGCTTCGGTTATTTCATAGTTCAAGGTGTCAGACCAATCTGTGTTGCCTCTATTCCTATTGTCCAATCATAAGCTTGTAGTGTCACGCGCTGACGATGTTGCTCTCTACCAATCAACTTCTTTGTAGAGTTTAAACCGTGCGCGCGGGCGGTCCTACATAGTTTAAGGCGGAGCCTTGTCCGGACTCGTGCATGAATTTGAATTCAGACAACTTGATGTTGAGTTATTAGTCAGCCGCACAAACTCAACATTAACTTTAACACTGTTTAGCCTCTAATTCACTCCAAACGGTGCTCGGTGTAGCCTGCCTGCCTTAACTTGCATTAACACTGCGTTAAAACGGCTCCTCCGTGTTGCTGCTACAGGCTTCTGCGCAAAAGGAAAGCTACTTGCAATGAAAGCGGGCGGTAAGTAACTTTCTTCCGCTTTACCCACTCAGAATAGACGAATGGAAATAATTTGGTATGAAATGAGTGTTTAGGAGTGTGTGTTTGGTCTCAAACCGATTGCTAGGTACTTGTCAGCTCAGGCGTTAGCTAGTGCAGTGATGGATCCCAACAGGAACTTGGTGTACCATTTAGCTCAAAAGCTTCAATATACATCTAACACACCCACGGCTCATTTAGGAATTGTAGCACTAATATTCGTGGTTGGTGTCAGATGATATGTAGTTAGGTGTGGATGAACGATATCTGGTCGTAACGGTACTTTATTGAACCCACAGGAGGGAAATTTGGGCGCTCAGTTGGTTTGACATCATCTGTTAAGATTTCACCACTGTTCGATTTCCCCAAACAGCTCAAATATGGTTGTTTGTGCTTTTTCTTCGTCTACATTTGATCAACATGTGGTTTAACGTGTTGAGGAACATGTGGAGTTATTTTAGTAGGCATGATTAAACTATGGAGTAAGTAGGAAAACTACGATGGAAAACTACTACAACGAGATTATCATTTATCTCTAAACTATGCAAATAAATACTTCTTAAAATATTATTTTAAAATGTCGAATTATGCTCATACCTATCATGCAAAAAAGAAACAATAATTTATGGTGTTGGTTGAGTTAAAGCTCAATTCAGATTCTAAATGATATTAGTTTCAACTGTATTTTGTACAAACTTGGGTTTTTATACTTAAATTTTACAAATGTAGTTTTACATTAATTTTCTTTGTGGCAGACTCACAACCCAGGAAATTAATAGTAACTGAAAGTGTCAAATCATATAAATCAAAGAAAGCCTAACATCCTGACTCGTGTGTTAGAATTAATTAAATGCAAATGTTCATTTTGCGTTACAGTGAGAATTACATCTCCAGCTTTGCACCGAGACCTTTACTGATTTTCCTGTGTACACACCTAAAAAGTATTTGACTCTTAAAGGTGTGTTAATTTTGTGATTTGAGTATTTTTTCCTCTATTTTCCAGTCGTCCACTGCCGGTGTTCAAAATGCTACTCTGTTCCGACACGGAAGCGAGTCCGTCAACGATCTCCAGACTTAACTTTGCTCTCCCTGCCTGAGGAAGTCGTTCTATGTGTGCTTCAGTGCCTCTCTGCTGAGGATCTGCTGTCAGTCAGAGCGGTGAGTGAACGTAAATCCCATCACAAAACGTCTGACAGCCTCTTCTGTCGTGTTTCTTGTTCAGAGATTAGTTATCCAGGTTTCTGTTGTAGGTTCACTCCCAGCTGCGGGACACTGTTGACAACCACTCGAGTGTGTGGGCCAGGGTCAGTTTCAGAGACAAGTGGCCGTCCCCCGACACCTTGTGGCTGTTTGAAAGGTACGGTTCCTTCTGACAAATACAACAAAATACTTGCTTTTGTTTACTGAAATTAATATAAAATTCTCACTTCAGAGCTGCTGAAAAGGGGAATTTTGAAGCTGCTGTGAAACTTGGAGTTGCTTATTTGTACAATGAAGGACGTAAGTTAAAACAGTTATTCTTTTCTTCTTATTCTTTTCAGAATGTAGTAAATTTCTGCTCAAAGCACCACAGCAGTGTCATTTTAATGTCAGAGACACAAACCCTCTTGATAAATGGTTACGACCCTTCACTCTGGCCTTCTTTCCTGCCTCCAGCGTTGCTGAGCGATGAGGGGCGAGCAGATGTGTGTGGTCGAAAAGCCTCCCACTTCTTCAGTTTGGCTGAGAGTCTCCGCTCCCCCAAAACCGATCCCTTCACTTGGGTGTTCATCCGTCCACCGTGGTCGCCCACTGGCAGCTGCTGCAAGGCCGTGGTGTTTGATCGCCTCAAGGCTGAGTGCGATGGCAACATGGTAGGTTCTGCTGCCGCCAGATCAGTGATGAGAAGCCACAGAATAAAGCTGTGTTTGTCCGTTGCATTGAGCTCGAGCCGCGTATGGATCTAGGAAGGTTTAAAGCTCCAAACAACATGAGCTTCTGCTTTCCCCCTGCATAACCCATGAGAGGAGCACTGGGAACTGAAACGCTTGTTTTTTTTCTTTCCCTGCAGGAGAAGAAGGGACCCTTGTTGCACTGTTTGGCCAGAGTTTTGCTTCTTTTTGAAGTGAGTGAGACTGAATTTGACTTTCTGGGTGTGGCTTGCTCGGTTTCTATTACCGTTGAGTAAAAATGTAAATCCGTGTGTTGTCACGTGACGTGTCCCCAGCCATGTTCCTCTTTACGATTGGCCTACTCTTAATCAGTCCCCCAAAGCTTTTACGAGTTTTGCTGATTGATGCTTTAGACTTGTGAGGTTTCATAATTTGCTGAAATCATATCTATCAGACTGTTATTTCACTGCTTTCTTACAAATGTAAGAGCAAAACATTCTGTGGTTATAACCATCTGTCTTTCCCAGGACGAGGGGCGACGCTCCAACGCTGTATCTCTGCTGGAGGAGTCGTCTCAGGCCGGCTGTCTGCTGAGTTCTTATCTGCTGTGGGAGAACAGCCGCAAAGCAGCTGTGAGCGTCGTTCTTTCTTTCTGCCTTCGTGTCCCTCGTGGAACACGCGTTTGGTGTTGCCTTTGAGAAAGCAGCTGCTAAATCAACCACTTGGAGTCTAATGCATGATTTATAAATGGATATAATTTGGATTTCAGATCTCAGACCCAGGAAGGTACCTGCAGTGTGTACGAACCCTCAGAGACTATGCTGGTAAAGGATGCTGGGAGGCACAGGTGTGTGTGTGTGTGTGTGTGTGTTACACTTCTAACTGGCCCGTTGCTTCAGTTCCTTGTGCAGGGTATCTGCAGGTCCTTAAAAAGTCTTAAATTTGCTTTTCCAAATTTAAGGCCTTAAAAATCCTTAAAAATTACAAATAATCCTTAAATAGTTTCCAAAGGTCTTAAATTACCAAAGACCCAATAAACAAGATTCTTTTATTTCTATAAAATTTGTGAGAATTTCTAGTTATTTCAGCATTTTTGTGTACGATATTGGCATAAGTGGAACCGTACACATTCGGTTGGTTGTGAAAGGGGGCTATTTTTAGAGGAGCACGCTAGTAGGAGTTTGCGCCATGGGGAAGTGCAACATTAATGGTAACTGGATGGCTAATCCCACGTTCACGACGTGGTTAGCACCAGTTCCAGGCAATAGCTGGAAATTATAGCTTAAATTTAATTAAACCGAAAAATAGCTTAATTTTGGTCAAAGTGTCCTTAAAAAGGTCTTAAAAAGTCTTAAATTTGGCTCCCTTAAACCTGCAGATACCCTGTTGTGACAGTTTTCTTTGTCAGAATGCTTTTGGATTCCGTGTTGGCGCTGTGCTAAAAGCTGTGAGATGTTTCTTTTGACAGCTCTTCTTCTCTGGTGTTTTTGTCTCATTTCTCTTTTCCCACTCCTCCATTTAGTTCTCATTGAAGCGCCATCACAGTGTCAGAAGGGCTTGACAGTTGTTGACATGCTCTTTTTTTTTCCTGTCCTCACCAAAATGAATCATAATAACGTGACTCATCTGAATCTCGTTCTGCTAGTACAGCAAACGCTGCCCTGCTCAGCTCCACCATGTCATTTAAGCACACTTCAACAAGCTGTCTAAGCTGTTCTGAAATAGTTTTGTTGGACCTTTTTTTTTCTTCCCCATCAGCTTTCTCTGGCCAAAGTGTGCAGCAGCGGGAATCCACTTGGTCTCGAGTCCAAGGCCTGCTCAGACGTAGTGGCCCAAATGTTCAGCTCTTCTAATCCAGTACAAGGACGCGGCGCTCAGGGCAACCCCAGGCGAAGCATCAAGGACACCATGAGGTACACGCGAGGACAACCCCCACCATGATGGAATGATTACAGCATGATGCTTCCTGTGGTGGTTCACTGTGTTTTCGTCTTCTTTTAGAATACACTGTTGCTTGGTAACGCACCACACCAATCCTCTTAAACTCTTAAACCCCTCAAAATGCTTAGTTTTATTTTCATGGTTTTAAAAATGTTTTCAGATACTTGGAACTAATTTGGTTGTAGCACGGTAACATTCATTTTAATGGGATCATAGGGTGGTAAGCATTCCTGGGCTGCTCGTTACGGTGCTGGAAAATCTGAATAACTTCCATTTAAAGTGCTTTAATTAAATTATTGCCTTGGTATAAGAACCCTAGATCACCATCCTTTCTATTTTATTTCTATTAGGTGAATGTTACTGATCTGGTCTCGGCTCTAACTCCTGTTCTTTGCTGCTGCAGGTACATCCTGGTGGACTGGCTCGTAGAGGTGACCACCATGAAGGACTTCTCCAGCTTGGCGCTACATGTGACTGTAGGCTGCGTGGATCGCTACTTGGCTCTGCGCTCGGTCCCCAAAGCTCGCCTGCAGTTGTTAGGCATCGCCTGCATGGTGGTTTGCACACGGTGAGGACGTGTAGGGTCTTCTGTAGTGGTTTCATGCTTTGTTCCGAAACCTTCCAGAAAACGTGAAGATTTTGATGAACCATGGTGCTAATCTGATTTTACGTTTCCGTTCCTCTCAGGTATATTAGTAAAGAAATCTTAACCATCCGAGAGGCTGTTTGGCTCACAGACAACACGTATAAATACGAAGACTTGGTGCGGATGATGGGGGAGGTTGTTTCTGTGCTGGAGGGGAAGATCAGAGTAAGTCCATGAAGGTTGCAGCTGAGGAATCCTGTGGTTTAAAGTTTTTTACACATGTATATTTTTTTCTCTTCAGAGCCCCACGCTGCTGGACTATGGGGAGGTGCTGCTCTCTCTGCTCCCCATGGAGAGGAGATCCACTCACCTGTTCAGCTACATCTGTGAGCTGTCGCTGCTCTACTCCGCTCTAGCCTCTCCTCCCCCTGCCAAACTGGCCTGTGCCACACTACTCCTCACACGAGCGCTGCATCACTATGGTAATAACGCCCACTGAGACACAGCTGTCGCAAAACCAACTATTTACAGGTTGAGTTTTGAGTAGAGTTTATGCTCATATTGATTTGTGCCTGCAGGTCCCGTCTGGCCCTCCCTGTTGTGTGATCACACCGGCTTTACCAAACAGGACCTCATTCCTCTCTCTGTGCTGCTTTATGTCAAGTGGTAAGTGTGTGTGTGTGTGTACTGACTGACAGGAAGTGACTGTGCTCTCATCAGAGGTTGCCTTTAATCATTAACCACAGCAGCTATATAATAACCAGATGACTCTGCCGCCACAGAATAAAGCGGAGTTTCCTCGTGTCGGAGTGGCTACGGGAGCCTTCTTCCATCCAGAACAGCAGAAATTCATAAACTCTGAGTTTGTAGGCAGAGATAAAGTCACATGTTTCAGGATTTATATGTTAATGCTGCAGCTTTACGGCTGATGTAAAGAGGTTTCAGGTGGTTTTAATTTAAACATGACATACTGATTTCATTAAATCCCATTGTAATTTGTGATTGGGCCGTTAACAGCCAATACTAATCAGATAACTGAGTCTCATCTCCGCAATAGTCTTTGTAAAAAAATAAAAATAAAAACATCAACAACACACCTTTTGAAACTGAATTAGCACCGATTCTGAATTTGTGGACCGATACCGGTTTGTAATTCTTGTACAGCTGATTCAGATTTAGGCTGGTTCTGATTTAACTCTGAGAAGAAGAAGTGTTTATTCCCAAATGAAGTCAGGAAGTAAAAACATTCACAGGGAGGATCTGTAACTTGGGAGTACTGGTGAGTTCACAGACCAGGAATAACGGTTTTTTTTAATTGCATAAAACCAAACCAACAAACAAACCGTTTTTATGATTCAGTCGATCTTGAAGCCAGGTTTTTGGAGCATCTCTTTTCTTGCTCACTAACTATTGTTTCTGTCATTTCTGTGTCTCTCTTGTTTTCTTTTTTCATTCCATCTTAACCATAGTTTTTATTTTATCTTGAATCTTTCTTTATTTTTTATAGAGCTTGTGATTTTGAACTTGAAAGGTGTTATATATAAAACTTCCTTCTGTTTAAATCAAACGCACATCTGAATGAATCAAATATTCATGTTTTCCTTTTTTATTTCAGTCACATTTCATAAACCAGAGTTTAGTTCAAATACTCCACTAGTGGAAATAATAATAATAGAAAAACCAATAAATGCAGTTTGGATGACCTGTAGATATGACATCACCTCTATTGATTGTTTTGTTTCTCCACATTTGTATTGATCACCGATTGGGTAATAAAAATATATTTTCCATCCACAAAACTACAAATAAGATCTGAGAAAACACTCTGCTCCGTGTTGTGTTTTATGACTGCACTGTGACTCACACACACACACACACGCACACACAAGTACCTTCTCACTGCTCTTTTCTCTGTAAACCGATGAGAGCTATTGATCGGGCATGTGCCGGGCTGTTTTCAGCATGCACGTATTGATTAAGAAAAAGATGCTGAGAACGTCCGGTTACTAAAAAGAAAGGTCGTTAGGGATTTAAAGGTGGCATAAAACACAGATCATAAGAACAGTAGGAGGCACCACTCGATGTGAGTCACACAAACGTGAGTCACTTTGACGGACGAGCAATATGTCGGCAAACTAATTCTCAAATTGACAAGTAGCAAGATTTGTCGTGGAGACTTGATTATATCTGTGCAGCAAGCAAAGTGGATCAAACTCAATTTTTAAAAATTTTTTATTTATTTTTTTTCCCCCACTTCTCCATTCTACCTCAGTTTCAGTGAAGATGTTCCCAAAGATCACAGACACGTGTCTCTGGCTGGTGTTGTGCAGCGATTTGAAGACGAGGCCTACCAGCAAATCAGCAAAGAAAAGGTAAAAGGATCAAACATTCCTCATTCTTTTTCTGCCTGTCTATATTGTTCTCAAATCCAAACGCTCATTGATTTTTTTAAAATCTTTTTTTATCTCTTTAAGGTGATGGATTTTAAAGAGCTCTGTCAGATCTTGGAGATTCCTGAAATTGAGCCTCAGATGGAACCTCCCAGTCCCACCAGTGGTCAACCAGCAGACATTCACACCTTCCTGGCTTCCCCGTCAAGCACCAGTAAGAGGTAGGTCAGCCGCCGACACACAGGCGACCTCGTGTTGGTGCTGGAGGATGTGGGACGGAGGAAAAGGTTTGTTACGAGACCAGACTCGCCAACAGGCCAGTGACGGCTGCCCCTGCCAGGTTTCTTGCTCATTTAGCGGTCCTGGTTGTCTCCTGAGCACCACCAGTGACTCGTGAACCGACTTGTCCAGAAGGCGTTTTTCTTTGTGCCGTCTGCCAGAAGCTCCTGTGACTCGCTGTAACCCTCCACTTGTCCACGTTCTCCCTGCAGGAGACGAGATGACAGCGTTCAGGACCACAGGGACAGTTTGGTGGCCACGCCCACAGCAGAGCTGTCCAATCAGGAGGAGACGCTGTTGGGAGACATCCTGGACTGGAGTCTGGACTCTTCCAGCTCTGGTTATGAGGGTGATCAAGAGGAAGAAAGCGATGGAGAGAAAGATGTGGATTGTGAGTGACAAGAACGAGGCTGAGAGTGTTTATTCCAACGGGATTATTAAAAGTCTTCCAGGCAATGAATATAAATGTTCTAATCTCCATGTAAAGTAGTAGAATAATGCATGAGCTACTCTGTGACTCGGCAGTTTTATTGTCCATCTTTATAAATGAAGACTAAATGTAGAGAAATAAAATTAGCTGTGCATTGTTTTTATGTATCTCATTTTTAATGTCTCTTCAACAGCTTCCATGATATCCATCAAACTGCACTCACTGGCTGGTGCTGATGATGGACGCGAACACTGCCGAGCTCTGTCCAGTGATGAAGACAGCTTCTGTGAAGTAGAAGTGAGCAAGGGTCACCAAGGTGAAGAAGCCCTCTCCGTGTCTGCAGACCCTCATAGTTCAGGGTACTCATCCGTCCAGAGCGTTAGCCCCTCGTCCACATGCTCCTCCTCCTCCTTCATGCATTTTGCATTTAGGACCTTTACCACCTCTCTGGGCGTGGCCTCCACTAACGCCCAGCCAGGTTTCCGCCTGTTGGTGCCCATGCAGAGGCCCAAAGGCACCTTCGCCAAACAAGTGAAGAGGAAGAACATTGCAGCTCATAGTGGAGGTGAAGTGGAACGAGACGATGATGACGACTTGGAAAGGGAAGGGTTTTCTGCCCGTGCTGGGTTTCTAAGCCTGTAGGAGGCGATATTTTTACGACTCACTCCGTTTCAAACCCGTCTTCACCAGCTGTCTCTCACTTAGTTCGTCAACCGCCAGAAGATCAATAGACTGGCTTTAAAGACTTGAAAGGGAAAACAAACACAATTAGGGATTGCTTGGAAACTCGTCGTTCTACCACATTTCATTTCCATGATTACAGGCGCGGAGCGGTTGGAAATCGCTCCCGTGAACTCGCGGTCATCTCTGAAACCCCCTGGAATATGACTTGATTGTTGCTCGGGAGCCTGGTGCTTTTCAGCCTGCTACAACAGCCTAGCTGAGATCACATTACTTAGCTGTAAAAGAAATAAAAACCACCGATTTACTGTTTCAGGTGGGAAAGAAAGTGTTGTTAGGGAAAAAAAAAAGCTGTTATAGTTTTTGTGACTATTAATATCGTCAAAGCCTTTGATATGCACTGTCTGTACAGGACAACCTTGTATTTGGTGAATTTCATCATAAGGCTACTACTGTGATCTAGTTGGTGAAAGTTTGCATCTGAAGAGGAGGCCCTCTTGCTTTTGTTTTGTCTTACATGTTTGCCAAAGGTGCAGAGGTGTCATTGGTCTTTCCCGTGGCCTCTGTCCAATCACACACAGCTGTGAAATGCATCACTTTGAGTCGGCAGCAGTCCCAACCGCACCACTCTGCTGTTGGTGACCTGTGGCACGTTAAACCCAACAAGAGCCACACACAGGTGTGTGTGTGTGTGTTCACTAATCAAGAAGCTGCAACATAAAACTCCAACAGACTGATGTGGTTTTAATTTTCCTCCAGAATCAAGTCGGGCACTTTTTTCATCACGGGTGTGCAATTCAGATGAAATGTAACATGCTTCTGAACGTTGGGCACGGAGGGACTTTTAATGAATTTGTCTTTTTTCTGCCTTGGACACCATCACAGTTCACACACTAGAGGGAAAAGATGACCCAACGGGCTTGTACGTGTACTGTATGCCCCATTGAGGACACAAAATAGTAAATAATGTTTACATGACTGTGACTGACTGTAAATACATTCTTGTAAACTGTTACTTCTGTCTGGTTGTTTTTGTTTCATGTATATAGTGCTTTATGAATGAATGAGAAGAAGTCAAACCAACATGCCACTACAACTTGAAATTGTGTTTGCTTCATCCCAAAAGGGCAGTTTTTAGCTTTTAGGTTGTTTTTTTTTACACTGCAGTGTTTATTTGGGTGTGAATGTGTATTTGTATGTTTATTTTGTACGAAGTTCAAATAAACAAAAACAATTCCTGTCTTTGTGTCTTGTTTTTGAACAGTGTTTTTCTTGTTTTGCTTTTAAAATATTAAAGGTCATCTGAATGAGTGCAAAAGACAGGTTTTAAATGACTTCACTTACTGCGCGAGGAAAGCTATCCAACCCAACCCGGTTCAGTGAAAAATGTCCCTAACCTTCATATCTGGTTGTAACTATATTGTAACTGCAAAATTACTTTTGTGATGACTGGTACTAAGTCTTACTACTCTATGAAGGAACTGTAGCCCCAGTCATTCCAGGATGTTAAAGCCTGAAATATACAATAACAATCAGGAAATTTTTAAAAACTTAAATCTTTTTAGTGAGTGTGAATAAAACAGTTTTAGTTACTAAAGCCATTTTAGTAAGTAAACAATAATAACAAGTCTGACACTCGTTTTCTGCAGTGTTTATATCTCCCACAAGGTGGCGGGATACATTTACAGAATTAAATGGTGCATAAGTTCATGGAATGCACTAATCCTGTTAATGATACAGAGGTCTTTGAAATTCAGGAATATGTGTAGCAAATGTGATACGTTTGGCATTAAAGTGTTATTTTGGCCTGTTAAAGGTCAGGTCTGACAATTCCCTTCACAATTATCTGCTAGAGAACAAAACTCATGGTTCCATCAGGTCAGGATAGGGCCTGAAGAAACCGCAGACCATCACACTGTCACCACCATGCTTGACTGTTGGTTTGATGTTTTTACTGAAACGCAGCCTTGGTTCTATGCCTGGTGTACTGTTGTTCCCTGTCTCTTTGTTGAATCGTGGGCTTAGATCAGGGGTGGGCAATCCTGGTCCTCGAGGGTCGTTATCCAGCATGTTTTAGTTGTTTTTCTTTTCCAACACACCTGATTCCTGGATGAATCACCTGTTCAGCAGCACACCAGACTCTGCAGCAGCCTGTTAATCACCAGGTAGATTCAAACCAGGTGTGTTTAAGCAGAGTAACAACTAAAACCTGCTGCATGGTGGCCCTCAAGGACCAGGATTGCCCACCCCTGGCTTAGATCTTGTTCTGTGTTCTTGGATTTTGTCATAACTGTACCTGATGTGCTGCTTTTTGCATTTTTAACCTATTTAATGTCCAGTGATTCCTTAGTTCTACAGCTCTGGCACAACTCAGGTCTGTGTGGCTGGTGAAACTGAAACTGACATCCATTCTCCTCTAAATGTGATTAAACTGTTCATTCAAAAAATTTCCCACAAGGCCAGGTTGGTTTGGATGCGGTTTTTCTCTTATTAAATGAAATAGTTTGTAAGCAGATTTTGTTTTATACGCAGGTTATCTTGGTCTGATTTTGAAATTCACTGAACTGAAACATTTAACTGAGAAAAGAAAGTAAAACTGGAAAAAGTGGGCAAATACTTTTTCATAACTCCGTATATCTACAATTTTATACATTTACAGTAAGTACTTGAATGTGTCAATATTTAGCTCAGTGATGTTTTTGTTTGTTATGATCAGATAGCTGCTACTGGATTCTAAAAAGCTGCCAGGCCAGTTCATCCACGCGTTTCCTACTCTAACGAGGATGACAAACAAAAAGATCAGGTTATTTAAAGGTTGTCAGCATGGATTTATGTTTTTAGATTTTCCTTTTGTTTGGTTTAAAACCAGAAATGCATCCAGATGTGCGAAAAAAATAATAGAGGCAGCTTTGAGGATAAATTCCCCAAACCCAGCTGCTGTGGTCACATGACCACCGTCCTTCCACAGACCACGTGATGGTTTGTTGACGTTTGTCGCTACGCTTTTCCCCCCCGGATGAATTCAGACGTTTATCCAGCCTCTGGTGCAAAGTCATCTTCCTCGCCAGCAGACAGCAGCAAGCAGGGGACATAAAGCGGGACAGCAGCGGCTACACGCTTAGCTTTAGCCTCATGCCACCGAGTCTCGGTGAAGGACGAAGCCTGGCGGGGATGTTTGTCACACCAGCGTAAAACAATAAGGAGGAACTGTTTTTCATCTCGACTGACGCGGAGACGGACAACAGTTCAGTTCATGGGCCGAAACCTTTGCTCTTATTAAGGTAATTAGATTGTTTATATTATAAAACATTAAAATTACACGTGAATGAGAAGTTCATACCACTGTTACGATCTTAAATAAAATCATATACGTGAGTCGGTCAGTAATTATCCCTAGCTTGTATCCAATAAGCACCATCGTTAGCATTCGTGGACTCTTGGGATTGACGAGCAGATCGACTGTCCAATCAGAAAAGCAGTAGCACTGAATTGACCAATCAGAAAAGAGAAGTGCGTTGTTTTTCCTGTAAGGGAAAAGTCATTACCTGCCTTTTGAGTGTTCTTTGTTTTCAGGGTTTCACAAGTAGATACACGATTTATTCAATTTTTCAGTGTTTCTACCTAAGCTCAGTTATACTGAGAACAGATAAAACGACCCACTTTAGTTGTTATGAATGAAGCCAGTGTGAAAGTCAAACAGTTCCTGTATTGTTTGGGTGTTTGATTGTTCTCAAAATAAACCAGTAAGTTTATTCTACAGGTCTATGCGAAACTAGTTGTCTTAGGCTTTAAGTAATCTGTACTTGTGTGTTGTGTATTTGGTTCTGGGTTAATAACTATTTAAGCACATTTTTTAACATATTTATTTTAGCGTGGGCTTTATTTTCAAATGACCCATAAAAGCTCAAACTTGTTCTGTTCTAAGAACTATTCATATGTTTTAATCCTTTTATTTGTATTTAGTTTACAAGATGACAAAAGTGGACGTGATTGCTCAATTTCACTTCTTTTTTGTTTTCTTTATTTATTGGCTAATGGAAACTGAGAGTCCCTTACAGTGGTGTGTTTTTGTTTTCTGTGTCCAGCCTTACATTAAAATTGTCATTCATCTTTTCTTCTGCAGCCTCTGTAAAGAGTTGCTTGGACTGTGACCTGTTCACAGTAAAAATGGCCATCGTCAGACAATTTGGACTGCTGGTGTGGAAAAATTATCTTCAGCAGGTGAGCTGGAGGAAGATGTCTCTAAATCTTGTCAGTCTTTGTCCTTATTCAGTGCTGATGTGGTATGCAACTGCATATTGTCAAAAGGTGGCTGTTCTTCCAGAGACACAGCTTGTATAACAGTATTTAAGTAATAGGTATTTGGATTGCCATAAATACAGTAAGCTGACTAACATTTTCCTCCCAGTAACTGTAGATTATCCAGCTACCTTAGAACTAACACAATATATTTTATAATGTCAGAATGTGTTTGTTGTCTCATACCTTTTCAAGCCTTATACAGGAAAAGTCATTCAGTGTACCTTTAATTGTTTCATTTACTTTTCCCAAAATTCTTATGACTCAGTTTATTAGATTAAACAACAAAACAAAAAAATAGTCAAATGTTTCTTTTATTCTTTCGGAACAAAATATCTTAGATTCAAGGTCCTTCAGTGGACAGGAGATAGGAGACCCTACTTCTACTCGCATCACATATTTGAAAACTTTTGTTTGCCTTCTGCTCTGGGAAGCTGTTTGCATAAAACTGAACATAAATATAGCAGAATGATTTCACAATGCTCCAGCTGTTGAGCAATGAAGTGCACCATTCGCTGTAAAACATGCGTACTGTGAGATTGTTGCTCCCTAGGCAGTTTTTCTTCTCACGGAAATTTTGAACACCATAGTTTAAACTTTAGAAGTCGAAACATCTGTCAGCAAAGGCCTGATCCCTGTAAATACTTCAAGATTATGTTTGAGGAAATATATGCATGTGGGTGCTTTCAATAAACTTAGGCTTGTGGCGATAAATATAGATTTATATCTATATTTCAAATGCGGTATAGATTTAGCTTGTTTATAATCTTATATTAATTAATCGGGGCACCACCAGTTTTTGGAACTGGACCGCTGGATTTAATATCTATATCTTCGCAATGTAATCAGTCTCAGAGTTAACACCACAAATTAATCTAAAGGATGAATTCTTGACAGAATGCGCTGATTATTCCCGAGAATTGCTAGACAATGTTCAGGCGTTATTTATGTTTTATGAGTATATTACAAACATCAGTTGTGACAATTGACAAAGAGAACCAAACACAGCTTATTGTTTCATGCATGAGAACGAGTAAGTGAAACAACTCAAAGCTTTATGGCAGTGCTATGTCATAAATAGTCTGTAATAAAAGTGGAAATTTGGTGACACATAGGATTATAGTAAATATTAGGAATAATTTCTGAAAGGAGGGTGTGTGTGCGTGTGTGTCTTGTTATGGCAGAAGGAAGAGGATCTTGAGCTAAAAGTGAATGTGGGATCGAAATAAAACGCCACAAAAGGAATGTAATAATCTGAATTCACAAATCGGCTTATAGCGGAAAACACGCCAGATAGAAATGCTCACAGACCTGCTTTCCGTCGTCGGAAGGGTGGCCAGCGGCGCCAACAGCCTTGGGGTCCTGGCTCGTGGCCTTTTTTTGGATTAAATGGTGCTGGCTCCCTGGTCGGTCAACGTCTGTTGTGGAAAGGGGAGGATGCGGTAATCCTCGATCGTGGCTTGACTTTTCGGTTCCTCCAACTACACCAAATATGGAATTCAGATCGCGAGTCCAAATTATCCAAAATGAGATAGAATCAGAGAAACTGTTCCAAATTTGGTTTCACTCTTAACGTGAGAACTCGACCGAACACGCAGACTTGCGGTTTCACGTAGGAAGCCAAAACAAAACAAACAGAGTTGCTTCTAAGTTTTACCGTAACTTTTGAGGGCTAATTACGTGACAACTGTAAAGCGCCGGGTTCTGCTAGGCCAGATGGAAACAGCCCGCAGGGCTTAAGGCAAACTTTTTCTCTTTTTCTCCTATCACCACGAGTCAGAACTCTGGTTTTATAAACTTCTTGGTCACACCCACATGTATTTCACTCATTAACCACTTGATGGTACTGTGGCTCTTTCAAATAACCCAGTCTTACAACCATGGGAGATTCATGCTCACAATTTTATTAAAGTTTTTCCAAATAAGGTCTCAAAAAGTATTACTTTAAACAGAAAAGAACTAACTTCAGGTCTTAAGCTTGACTGTATCACTTTTAGCATGGTTTTGAACTGGTGAAACACAATGGCAAAAGTTTAACATGAAAGAAAAATAACAACACAAGCAGTTTAGGTTTGTAACTGATAAAAGTTTAAACATTTACTTGGAACACCTTGAATTTTAATGGTGAACAACCTAAAACACCTTTTGACTGCAGATGAACAGAAAAATACCAGGGTTTTGATAAAGACTAAATTCTGGAGTCTTCCAGAACATGCCGTGAAAAGGTTTTACGAGCACTCAAACCTTGGGGGAGAGTCAGGTCTTGGCAGATTGACATGGACTAGACTAAGTCCTGATAATGTCCATCTTTTCTATTGCTTAAGGAGGGAAACAAATAAGTCACTTGGTAAATATTACGTTTCTGGGAGAAAATGTAGGCGTTAGCCAGATGTTCGAAAATGGTATCTTGGAATTTATGCGATTGTAGGCCAGTTTCTAATTCCCCCATTTTTCCTGCTAAGTGTGAAAGAAACATTTGTGTGAAAATGTTATTGTTCTTCTCTGCGTAAATCCAAACAAAGTTAATCTGAGGATATCAAATGTGGATTTCCGCTACATATTCCCCCCTGTTGGAGATATTTCCAGATAAAAGATTGGGAATATTTCCAAAACGATGATAATCCACATTTGTGGGAGTTCAGGTTCCTACTGTTAGTAGGATATGGTAAGGTATAACACTCCTGCAACGCCCTTGTCCTCAATGAAACAACAAAAATACTCCTTTCCGGCATGGGCTCCTCCCTGGGCATCCTCCTGAGGAGATGAACACACTTGAACAGCAACCAGGTTGAAGCACTTCTTATGGAAGAGTCTGTCGTACTTCTGGGCAGCATTTTGCCTAGGTAGAGTGAATACATTTCCTTGGCTGCATGTCCTTCTAATCTAATACAGAGAAGAAAAACAAATGGATAACTAACAAGCTTCTTCTATATGTGCGAAGTTCGTTTTGGCAATAAATGTGGGTAACTTAAGTCTCCTAAAAGGGCTTACTAGATCAAGCTAGATGTGAGGGTTTGTCTACTATTAAAATTCCTATTTTCTAGTGTGTGAATAAGCATGCACTAACTGGGTGATCAGTAAGTCAACTCCAACACTACCAGAGTGCTGGTCTCGTCTGTATCATTATCATTTAATTCTGTCTCCTCTTCAAAGGTAACTTATGGTGGGATTGTGCAAAGCTGGTTAAGGTTTCTACGTCTCCTTAGTTGGGTGATGTGTTTGGTACATTTGTCAAGTTGTCCTTGTAGACCTTTGGTCTTTTGCAAGAAGAGAGAAAAAACAAGTAATGACGAAGACTAGGACGTAGCCTAATACCATCGCGCATACTGGAAGACTGTCAGCGGTATTGTTTAAAAAAAAAACTTTTCCCTATGGCAGAAGTGGTGTATGTCCCATAGGGATGTGAATCTTAGAGCAACTCACAATTTGATTTGATTCCGATTCTCTGGGTGTCGATTCGATTCAGAATCGATTCTTGATTTAACTCTATTCACAATCATTGTTAAAGAGTGTCAGTTCTAGGATTAACTACTTTGTTGTACAAGTTAGTTAAAGCTATGGGACATTTTTATTTGACGTTAAACTGGTCATGCTCAAAACTTGCAAATTTACAAGGTAAACTAAAGTGATTCTAAAACTGTAAACAGAAGCAATCTTTTGACCAAAAGGCAACATTTATTTTTGCTTACCTTGTAAAATATAACAAATCTTTAGTTACCTAACAGTAGCTTTGAAAGTAATACGGTCAAATACTTCAAGTATGTGTGGAAACATGTTTAACATTTTAGTCCTCAACCTGTTTAAAAAAAGTGCCTTAGATTACGTACAAAGGAAAATGTGTTCTCTCATTTATCAATAACTTAAAATAAATACATGCGTAATCCTAAGCACTCATCAACTTAGAAAATAAATATGAAAATATCTCAAATTAATGAGTATGGAAAAAATTACATTCAACTGCCCACTTATCAGCAGATTAAAAAATAAATCATCTCAATTTATGGGACCACAAAAGTAAACAGAGTACTAACTCTCCTAACAACGATGAAAAAAAAAAACAGACAAAAGTGCATCTCAAACCTGTAACATGCCAAACATTTGAGTTCTTGTGTTCGATTCTGAACCTTTGTGAATCGATTCTGAATCTTTATAAATAAGAATCCAGATTCAGACTTAAATCGATTTTTTTCAGCACCTCTAATGTCTCGCGTACGTGTACACCTACATAGGTTGGGTGCCAAATAAAGACCAGGATTACTGTGCTCAAAATGTCTTGAACCATAGAAAGTGAGAGAGAGAAGAGAGAAAAGTAAAATTTATGAGCTGAGTGGAGCCAGTCAATTTCACATAGAGTTTTCACGCCTTGAGTTAGTGAGAGACACGAGATAGCCGTTAGTGAGCCGTGTTGATTGGTTATTTCATTCAGTCACAAAGTCATGCTATCATCATGCAGAGTAGCCAGCTCATTTTCTGTGAAGGTTATGACAGGTATTTTGGTTTCTTTTACCCAATCGGTCTACTTGGTATCCTGTGGTTTATTGAAGTGTGATTATAACCTTATAGCTGATTTAAGCTAGCTGTTTGTTTACTTCATCTAATCTCCTTTTATTCTGTTTCCTGATTAACTGTTTTATCGAACCTGGTGGGAGATTATGGCATGGTGGAGCTTGTTGTGTAGGGTTCTCTGGTTGATGTGGGCAGCAAACCAGGCATCCTTGGATGTAATTCTGTACATCTTTTCGCATTTCTGGCCAACACGCAACTTGTCGTAATGTATTGAATGTTGCTTCTTCCCCTTGGTGTCCTGCATACGGATGATCATGGTCACGTACAAGCATCACCCCCCTGTGGGTACGAGGCACAATGAAAGTTGGTAAAGGGGGTGCATTGGAAACATGCACCAAGATATCGTTGCTCATCTT